GTTTAGGTGGATCACCTGGAAGCAGCCATTTTTGGTAAAATCATCATGGGCAGTTAATCGAAATCGAGCTTTCTGCACTTGTTGGTAGAAGATGTTAAAATATGTTAAAGGATCTTTGTGAATTTTTGTCGCAATGCGAACTGCGTCCACGGTAGCTTGATGGGGAAGGTTGTTCCGTTTAAATTGATCTCAGGAGCTAGTGGCTGCGATTTTTTTCGAAGGAGACACACAGGGTTTGAAGTTTTTGTGAGGAGTTCATCACTTTTTTAGCTTGACGAGGAAGATTGGTCTACTTAAATTGACCTCTCGAGCTAGTGGCTGCGATTTTTTTCGGAGGAGGTACAGGGTTTTGGAGTTTTTGTGAGGAGTTCTTCACTTTTTCAGCCGGTTCCCCATCAAGCTCCCTGTGAGCAATCTCCCAATTAATCTCTGTTGAGTTCACTCAGTTTTATTGCATAAAAATGATTGTTATTAAAACGGAGTGAAAAATGTTTCCTTTTCTGGATATAAATATAGTTAATTGATTCACAGTCGTAAAGTTTATAAAAGTACGTACAAAAATATGTCCAACAGGTGATAGATCAAAAACTAGATAACAAGTTATATTTTATCAGACGATAGGGTTTGATTTAAAGGGAATGACTCGATTATCAAAATGTACGGATTTCTTCTACAGAGATGTACACCATGCGTGTGCATTTTGGAAAAGTCGTAACCAAGGTGACGTCTTATAACTCCAATTTCCTGGCATCCACGGCCATTGCCACATCTGTGTGCATCGTTCTGGGTGAGGCATCATTGCTAGATGTCGGCCATCCACAGAACAAATTCCAGCTATTCCCTCTGTAGATCAAAGTCAAAAGTGAAAATCTACATTAAAGATATTTATAGCAAAGTTTCTTACCAATACTGCCGTTTGGATTGAGAGGATATTTCTCGGTTGGGATGCCCTGCTCGTCGGTGTACTTTATGGCAAGGCAATTGTGCTGTTTTAGTTTCTTTAAAACATCACTACTTCGGAATGTAAATCTCCCTTCGCCATGTGCAACCCAAACTCCAAATACACTGCCCTCCATGCCCCTTAGTAAAATAGATGGTGATTTCTCAATCTTTACGGTACTCCATCTACACTCGAATCTCTCTGAATTATTGCTATCGAGAACAATATCTGGGTTTCTATTTTCATCTGGAGAAATAATTACGGTAATGATAAAATAGCTAAAAATAATCAAGGTTGTTGAATGTTAAACGTATTCCTTACAACTTGGCTCTCCACCGATCCATCCCAGAAGACTCATCAACTGGCATCCATTGCACACTCCTAAACTGAACGTATCCTGTCGCTTCACAAAAGCTTGCAATTGTTTCTCCAATTTTGGGTGAAACAGTAAGCTTGCTGCCCATCCTTTAGCAGATCCGAAAACATCTGCGGTCAAAATATTCCTCAGCAAACGAGCAGATCATAAGTGTAGGTTATTAATTTCTAGATATTTATCACTTACCAGCGTAACTAAATCCACCTGGGAAAATAACGCCCTTGAACCCATCCAATGACACCTGTTCATTTAATAAATCTTGCATCGTTATGTCCCAAACTTCGAAACCAGCTTCAACTAATGATGCAGCCATTTCTCGATCCCCATTAGTGCCTTCTTCGCGAATCACAGCGACCTGAATATTAGCTAAAAAAGCAAAGACACAGTCAGTGAATGGAATTGGCACTAGGCATTGCTTCACAAATAATTTGGAATTTTATAAACCTACTCACAAGTTAAATGTTTATGACTTAGGAATGTATAGTTATCAGGGTCAAACGTCAACTTGTACGCTGGGGCACTTCGTGCACTTAATCCATTATATTCTTCCTCCGCACAACTCACATTTGTTTGGCGTCGCTCTAATTGATAACTTGTTTCTTCCCATAAACTCATTAGAGGGAATACAGACGAATTAACAACAATTTCATTGTTTACCGATACAACGATCTGAAAATCAGGATTTTAAAAATCATAAACGATTCGAAAGTTTTATTTGTTTTAAATAAAATGTGATTATATTTTGAATACCCTACTTTAGATTGTAGGCCAAAGCCCTTGGATTTTCCAATAGCATAAATGGGAGCGTCGTATCGTTTGAACGTTTCAAGAACGTAATCTATGTCTCGCTGATGCACCTCCAAAATCCAACCTACTTCTTCCGAAAACAGGATATTTATCGGCGATTCTGATTTGTGTGATATCTTGATTTCTACGCCGGAAATTCCAGCGAAACACATTTCTAAAATGCAGGTTATCAAACCACCGTCACTCACGTCATGGCCTGACAGAATTTTCCCATCTGTAACATAAACAATACTTTTCTCAATTCCTTGACACAGGGTTTAAGTATAAGGTTTAGTTTATAAGATTGTGTTAACACTAAATACCTTTTATTAACGATTGAGTGGCATTGAAAGCATTTTTGATTGCTCTCACATCTTCTACATCAGGTGCGCTATCACCAAGTTGTCGGAAGACTTGAGCTAAAGCAGTGCCTCCGATACGACTCTTGCCATTTGACAAGTCTACGTAGAGAATGCAACCTTCTTCTCCAATGGAAGGACTTTTAAGATCTGGGGTGACAACCTATGATTAATCATGAAACGACTTAATTAATATACAAATCTGCACGTAGTCTTTTGGATGGCCAGCAGTGAACATTAATAAATGAACAATTGGTTACCTTTTGAATGTCAGGGCACGGAGCATACGAAGAGATCACCAATGTTCCTGGTGCCCTAACAACATCCTTTCCGATTCGAGCAGCCATACTAAGGGAATCTTTTCCTCCATCGATAGCAATTCCTAACTCTTTCATGATTGAGCACATTGCTTCGCAAGCTTCGTACAATGCTGCACCCTCTCCTGGCAATTTGGCTGCCCACATCCAGTTACCACTGCATTTTACATCCTGCACACATTCAGGTTATTGTTTACACACTCGCACATCTAAGTGCATTTATTTCTCCTTAGAAAATGCTTTCACTCCCTCACCTTCAAATCAGAAATTCCAGCAAATACGAGGTTACTTAAAGACTCGGCAACTGTCATCCGTGCACCTGCTTGTGGAGTGACGAGACCCTTTATCGGTTGCTCCCCAATAGACGTGGCTACACCAACCTGAATAAATGTCCTTTTTTAAGCTGCTATTTAATTCCACTTTCATTTTTGCATAGAACACTTACGGTAGAGAAATGAGAAATCGCTGTGACAGCAACGTCAGCTAATGGTGTATGCAAAGGTCCTACGCATTGCTGTTGAGCAATCAGTCCTGTCACACATCGGTCTACTTTATTTGTTAAATATCGTTTACTTGCTACCGAGGGTAACCTCAAAACTCTCTCAAGTGCAGTATCTACTGTCAAGTCCTTTGGCAACTGAATTGGCACCAAAGTTTTGTGCTCCTTCTCCAAGTAAAACACCTGGAAAATATATGCCATCTAGTATTGTCTATCATTAGTAAATGTGTTATCAATTTCCATTACCTTTCTTGGAATTTTCCCTAGAACGAGTTCAAGATCCAAGTCAACTGGATGTCTTTTCCCAGGTACATAAGACTCGTCTAGGTATTTCTCAGTATTGCAGTCGTCCTCTTCAGAAAGAATTATTCTTCCGTTGCCAGTGACTGTTCCTACAAAATTAATAGGACATCTTTCTCGCCGAGCAATCTCTTTAAGTAATGGTACATCTTCTGATCTGCAGAGAATTGCATCGTTCTCTTGATATTCTGCACCCCATAGTTCTAGCGTGCTGATACTTTGATCACCCAACTCAAACTTCTTTGTAAATATTACTGCACCGGCAGGCTCCACCAATTCCTTCAGGACATTTCCTGAAACAATCCTAGTTATTCCATCTATAACATCTATTACGCGGACATGTTTGACGTCGCAGTTAGAATACTATTTTATAAAGATATCCAATGATTAAACAATACCATTTCCACCAGCTCCTTGGTCATGGATACTTAGAATTGGATTTCTATCTCCCATCTCCATGCAGGCTCGAACCAACCGATTTAATCTTTGTTCCATTTCAGCATCACCTCTTTGCACCGCACCAAAGTCGAGTTCTAATTTATTATCACCTTGAACCTATATTGTTCCATATAAATATAAGTATTTTTGACATATACTTATTACAATAAATCCGTTCTTTCTTAATTACCTCTACGGAGCTTGCTGATCCACCTCCTACACCGATCCTGTACACCGGGCCACCAACTTTTATCACTTCCATACCTGCGTAATTAACAGTGTCATATAAAATCTATTTATATAACAGCATTCATAAGTAACTAGGATTACACTGATGACAAAGTGTTTAATAATGATATACCTTTCTCAGCTGGCAACTTCGTTGTCATATTTGCATCCATTGTCCCCACACCACCACTGAACATGATTGGCTTGATCCATTCTTGTCTCAAACCAAATGAGTTTGTCATTCCAAATGATCTCGCAAATCCAGACACTACGGGTTCTCCAAATTTATTCCCATAATCTGATGCGCCATTACTAGCTTCTACGATGATATCCAGAGGAGAAGCCATATTTTCTGGATAAGGCAAGTCATCCTCTTCCCAAGGTAAAGAATAGTCTGCCACATAACGTATAGTAAATAGAATGTATTACATACCATGGGAAAACTTATTAACAATCAGTTTCTTGACTTTGTACAATAAATCTCACTTGGAATGTGAAGGTTGCCAACGGAGTAACCAGCTGTTCCAGCAATGTAGTATCCACCACGTCCAACACTTTGTATGTCTCTTAAACGTCCACCAGTACCTGTAGTGGCCCCGCTGTAGCATAATATTTGTGAAATAAGTGATATTAACTTATTATTTTGTTGTATAATTTAATAACTGATCACCTGAATGGTGCAACCCCGGTAGGGAAGTTGTGAGTTTCTGCGGTAAAGATGAGGTCTTGTTTCAGTGTATTTAAATGGAATGCACTAGCTTGGCTGGTTTCCTTTGGACGAAGAATCTTAGCTTCATACCCTTTGATTGCACTGCTATTGTCACTGAATTTGATAACATTATTTGGATTCGACGAGCTCTGGGTGTCAATAATCATGTCGATTAGCGATTGGTCTTTTTCCTTCCCTTCGATGACCATCCGTCCTTTGAAGAACCAGTGACGACTATGTTCACTATTAGACTGTGCCAAATCGAAACACTCGACACTTGTGGGGTTACGCTTAAGTTTTGAACCAAACAGATCTGTGTAAAAATCTAAGTCCCAGTTGTCAAATGCTAGACCTAAGAAAATAACATGAATCGTATTATGTGTAATAATGGAATCATTATCTTAAAGTATAATTCAATTTACCCAAATGTGCATTTACATCTTCCAAGGCTTTTCTTCCATGCTGTAGAATATCTACTTCATACCATTCTTCAGGCTTGAAGCCATGATTGAATGATTCTATTGGTTTTAAATATCTACATTCCGTCATTCGATCTTGCAAGGCATTAACGATCTATAAAGTATTTTTAAAAAATTACTAATTAACAGTGCATCTCTTATCCGTAAGCTATTAAGGATGCTTACCCTATTCTCTGTCTTGCTATCAATGATTGACTTCAACTTAACAAGATATCTTGTCGAGACTTCTACTCTTTTAACTTTATGTAACTGTATAGAATTACAAATTGATATCGCATTGCTGGAGAATGGTGTAGCAAAGTTTAATCTGTAACAATAATAATAAAATCAATAATAATAATATAATATAATATATGAATAAAAATTATTTAAGATTATTACTAATGATTACCTTGGGCCAATTTCGATAAGCAATTTATCATTTCCATGATTCTCCAGAGAACTCTGTTCGGTGACTTTAAGTGGATCAAAAGGTGATACAAGAATCCATTTTAGAAGTCCAATCTCCTCTTCACTAAGTGCACCGCTGCTTTCGACATAGTAGCAAAGTTCCGTCTTGACTTCATCCACTGAGCTTGATATTTGCAGCAATTGATTTAATTTCTTTGACAACTGTCCTGGCTTAAGCCCAGGTGTTTTATAAAAACGAATGATTTCCATGCTCCCAGGTTCAAGGAGAGACCCAAATGTACTAAGGAATAGTTTCTCGTTAATCTTCCACTACCCGATCCAAGACCCCCAATGAACGTTGGTGACGAAAACTCTCCAGTACTATCGTCACTTATCGCATCAGCTCATGGTGCTCTGAAAACAGACTCGTTAGCTGTAACATCTATGTTGTAACTTTCATATCATGCGGTCAGGACTTAGAGGTCAATAGGGCAGTGAGTTCACTATCAGTGTACGTTACTTAAGGTTTTGTAATCAATTGAAAACCTAATGAAATTTTAGGGATCTATTTACAACCTATTAATGTCACAGAGAAGAGTAATAGTAAATCATTTTAATCCTTTCAGAAGTACTCATTCGTTGTTAAAGTCCCTTTTAAGTTGCAATAGTAAACAAGAATTTGTAATAACCTAACCTTACCGGCCAGGTAGCTTGAGAACACGTGGCTTTACCTACCTAACCTAATCTTTTTTTTTTAGGCCGATAATTGGACAAAATTCTAGCTTGTGTAGACCATGGACGGTTGGGGAGGTATTACATGAATATATTATATGACGTATTATACCTACCCAACCCTGGTTGCGGTAATTTAAAAATCCCTAGAGAATTTAAGAGAACTATGAGAATTTGTATGTAAAATAATTGATTACATTTTAATAAGTAATATCCATGAAGTCAAGGTACTTTTTAGGTGAAAATAGTGTCCCTTTATTAATGATTCCTTTCTCACGATGATTTTCTATTTCCGCAATTTGTGTTGTCACTCTTATTAATTTCAAGATACATGAGAGGTTAGGAAGTTACTCGATTACACTAGATTAATTGTGGTTTGTCCAATTGTTGGAAGTTTAGAAATTCTGGTATTGGACGTTCGAAAAGCTCAAATCTTCACGCTGCATAATAAGCACTTGTAGTTTGTTAAAATTATTGAAAAATAGTCGAACGTTTATACAAAGTTCAATTTCTATAGATTCTCATGAATTCGCAGAGAATTTAACCACTCGTTATATTCTCGTTCTCGGATATTACCCAAGTAATCTAACGCTTTAAAAATTCTCGTTATTTTTCAACAAATTCGGACGTTACGTACTGATTCAAAAACTCGATTTCCACATTCAAACAAGATAAAAACCATTTCTTCGAATGTATCGATCATAAATTTGCTAACTTATCTCTCATTAATTCTTTCACCCAAATTTTGTCAGAATTTACCATAATTGAGAAGCAAATTTCTTTGAAGAACTGAATTCATTCCACATGAAAAAAATAGAAATTAGTATTGTACAAGGTTCTTACGTATAAGCGTCAAAAGTAAGAAGAATTTTTGCTGGATTTATTAGATACAAATGACTCGTAAAAAGAATAGTATAAATTTTAATTACAAATAGAACAAGCGTATTACCAATTATTTAGACTGAAACAGAATACAACTCCAACACATAAAACCAAACAATATCGTAACAAATTAATATCTTAACGCCTGTTAACAATAGATTATTTAATCATGCTGAACAATTGACCGCATATTACTGAGAAGGATAAAGCATTGTCTACAATGTCGATGCATACAGGATTAAAATAAACAGAATAAAATCATCCTTTCGATAGTTTCAGTGATAAGATATGAGTTATAAGATTTCCATGAAGCATGAACAATCCTACATGTCAAAGTTTATAAAATATGAACATTGATATTTAATCCTGTGCAGAGTATAGTTATTCACATTATTCATGCGCACCATCGTAAACTATGTCAACTAGTTATTAACTAGGAATAGTGTCCGAATAATTTCTCGATGCTCTTTCGATTGTTAGCAAACAAAGCAATGTATCCACTCCTACAGAATCTTCTGAATATAAATCTTTAAACATCTGTGAATGATACAGCAAAATAATCAACGAATTAGTACATCATCGTGGAGTATCCATAGAATACAAACATGCGCAGTTATATTTTTGCATTACGCATTACATCCATTTATAATATAACAGAATGTTTATATACACGTGCCACCATATCTGTAAATTAAACGTAGAAAAGTAGAATCGAAGAGTCGCAGTTTACATCTATTCATAATATACACATCTATTTGTAACATAACAAAAGGTTTATATACATATTCTACCATATCTGTAAATTAAATGTAGAAAAGTAGAATCTAAGAATCACAGATGAGCATTACATAATTTACATTTTCTATTCCCATTCGTAACAACGTAGTCCTAAGTCTGCGACACTGATTATAAAATCAAGCGATGAACATCTCATTTATCTATTGCTCTCACGCGATGATTAACGATTTTTAATCATTCTCACAGAGATGTTAACTTACATTGCAGTTGAGAATACTGAAAGGACGTTTAATTATAATAATAATAAATTCTCGGGTAAGCGGGAAGAGCAGGTTAAATTGTTCGAGGCATACTCGTTAAATACAGGAAGTCTAATTAGAATACCGAGACTCGAATATTCATATCTAAACATTTCAAGAAGGGACTTTATCTTTCCCAGACGCTTTCAATTTCCGATGGTACGTAGTGTAAGAAGTCGATGGCTGAGGATTATTCCGGGGGAGTTTTTGCTGTCTAAGGGACGCCGCTCCTGAAGATGCTTGTCTTTTAATTTTCTTCATCTTCGCGACGGTAAATTCCGTCGTGCTTCCGGCTGAGCTTAGAAGAATAAATCCGTCTTCCTCGTTTCCAGGACTCGAGGCTCTGTCGGGGACAAACGGGGATTTGGAAGGAATTATCTCGTCGGTTTTGGAAAGCTTCCTTCGTTTCTTCGGCCTCTTTATCGAGCCGTCCGAGAGGTTCTCGATGCTCTCCATTTCTTCTCTCCTCGCATTCCTTTTCGCCTCTTTGCCGGCTTTTATACTCTCGACTGCGTTTTTCATGGCTCTTAATGCTTCTGCCCTTGCTTTCGAGAAGTCTACGACTTCGGGAGGTTCGTCGGAATCGCTCGCACTTTTCTTCGATCTCGGCTTAGAAATCTTTGTGGGTCGATCTTCGGGATTTATTCTATCGGCGCGTTCTCTCTTCTTCTTCGGTGCCAGCTTCGAACTCTTTGTCGGTCGATCTTCCGAATGATGTACGTCGGAGCCCTCGCTCTTAATTTTCTTGCGAGCTTTGCCAGCGCCTTCCTTGTTCTTATCGGCCAGTCTTATCGCCTCTTGTTCTACCTGTTCTGCAGGCGACTTTTTAAACTTCTTCAATTTTGGTTTAGATCCCGAATCCACCCCGATATTGTTCCCTAATTTCTTCGGATTTACCTCTTCCTCCGAGGCTGCTTCGAATCCTGTCGATTCGATTTTCTTCCTCTTCTTCGATGGCCTCTGACTACTTCCTTCATCTACATTTCCTCTCTTCGGTTTTTCTGCCATTTTCTTTCCCTTTTGTCGTTTGGTAACAATCGTCTCTCTTACATTTCCTGCTTCGACGGTTGCCTCCAACTTTTCTTGACTTTCGAGTTTTTTCTTCGTCTTTGATTTTCCTGGACTCTCTGTTTCTTGACTGTGGTCACTTTGTTTCTTCTTCTTTTTCTTTCTCTCGCCTTCGGTAGGTTTATCAACGGTTTGTTGAGCTTCGAAAACAGTTTCCTGTACGTTTGTCAATTTCTTTGATGACTTTTTCTTTACTTTACTACTCTTTAACTCGGTCGTGTTCTCGGCCTGCTTTTGTTTGGCAAGAATATTTGTATCTTCTTCGCTGCTGTTCTCTTTAACTCCAGCATGGATGTGTTCTTTCGGTGATTTGTCCAATGTGCTCGTTTTTGAGGTTAGATGAGCTTTTTTACTAGATTCGATGATCTCTTTTGTCTCATCCAAAGTGCCTTCTGCTTCTTCGTCTTGTAAATCTGCAGAAGGTAAAGTATCGTGTAACCTCTGTTTCTTCAGGAATTTCGTTACAGGGCTGTTAGGCGTTAGCATTGTTTTATTCAGCATAGACACTTTGGATGACTTTTGCCTTGATAGATTGGTTTCGGTGACATCGGTCAAGTCTGTTGGCAGAGCCGGAAGACTTTTCTGTAGAACACCGGAATCTATTTGCTTTGTGCCACTCGTTTCGCAGAAACTCATTGCACTTTTCACGGAAGGTATTGTATGCACTTGATTAAGAATCATATTCTTCTTTTTCATGAATGCAGGTGTGAGGGACTCCTCATCACTTTTACTGCAGTTTGACGACTCGCCTTTGTTAATACCCAAGTTTATATTACTAACAATTTTATTTTTCAAGGTCTTCCCACTCGGTTTAGGCGTGCTGCTCACTTTCGGAGTCTTGAGACTCTTATCAACACTCTGTTCATCTGAAACACCTTGAGACTTATCAGTCTCTGATAACTTTTTCGGAACTTTACCCCTTTTCGGAGTTTTTAGAGTTTCGATATTGTCAGGTAGCTTCCCAGTGAACTTCAAAACTTTACTCTTGTCACCGACACTTGTTATGACTACCTTTCGATTAACTTCACTTTCAGATTCATCGTCCTCTTCATCTGAAAACTGCAATGCAATTCTCGAGAATTTCTTTTTACTTCCCTCTCCACTTGCATCTTCTTCCGTACTCTCATCTCCGTCTGCTTCGTCCTCTTCCTCGTCACCCACTACAAATCCTTCCAAGTCAGATCCATTATCATCCGAGTCAGAGTTTTCTACTTCCGATTCTCTGCAGATGTCACTAGGTATATCTTCGTCGGGATCCTCTATGTCAGACTTCCCATCGAAATTGTACTCCCTAGCAATGTCTGAATTAATACTGTCATTTGATGAATCATCTTCTTTAGACGAGTCAAAAAGAAACTGAGGAACCCACTCTTTCTTACTGTCTTCTAAATTATCATTCGAGCTCTCCGAGCCCACTTGTGCTGCAATAGAGTAATTCTGATTAACCGTGCTGTTTTCTGCATATTTTTGCGACATTGCTTTTATTTGTTTGCCTGAAACAAAAAGCGACTCGTCCTCTTCAATGACCAGAGACGCGCGCTTTGAAGATTTGCTGCTACTTCCACTTTCAGATCTACGTATATCAGTGGTGATGGAGCTCATCTTACAGGGCCCCTCTTCCTCTTCCTCTTCGTCTTCATCAGTATCCATATGTTCTGGTTCCATTTCACCCTGGGTGCTCGTCACAGAGAAACGCGCTTCCTCCTTCATCGATTCTTCTCTCTTTTTCTGCGACTTTTTATTTCCCAAAATAGGAGAGCTCGGAATCTTCTCCGAAGAATTGCTGGAATCCGTCTCGTTGAAGGAATCGTTACTCTTTGTGACTGAAATAAGGGAACTTCTGCGTTCCTGATTAGATTTGTTTAAACTTCGTCCCGAAACTTGCTGGTTTTCTGCTGATTTATGACTTTTGTTGGATTTCTCAAACGATACAATGGTTTTCGTTGCAACAGCCTCTTCATCATCGAAGTTAGCATTGTCTTCTTCAGGCTCCAAAATCTTCGACTTGTCACTCACCTTAGAAGTGTTTAAGTCGTTTAAATCACTGCTTATGTTTATATTCTCTTCCGATGAGCTTTTGGTGAATTTTCTTTTTTTCCGCGATTGGTGCTTTGAGGATGTCGATGTCTCCAGATTAGATTCGGAACTTTCGTCTGCTAAAGAATGAACATCTTTTGACACATTGGTGGGAGATTCTGATTTGCCTGTAGACTTACGATGTGCAGTACTCGAAATATTGTTTTCACTGTTATCAACCGATTTTCTGAAACTGTCACTTTTCTTTACATTTTTATCAGTCACAAGATCTGGAAGTTGCCGATCACTTTGTAAGGATTTTCTAATCACACTCTCTTCACTTACTTCATTCTCAATGTCTGATTCAACATCCATTTCTTCATTCTCCTCCTCGTCTCCTGTCTTTGTTTCATTTTCTTTCTTGGACTTCACTTCTGATGTCTTGAAACTTGAAGCGTTACCAGATGTGGAGCCATTCTTGGTCGCTTCTTCAGCTGCAGTTTCTTCTTTTTCCTCCAGGACCAGATCGCATTCTGCTTCACTCTCATTTTCCACAGTCGGTGAGCTTTCTGTGAGCTTTCTGTTCCATTCTTCGGCAGGAATGTCGTGAAACAGACTTCCTAGGTTCATGTCTAAATCGCTGTTATGTTCATCGTGCAGTTTCTGGGACCGAGTTTCGTTCTTTTCTGGCTTCAACTTTAGGGCAGCACTCCTATCCTGGACTTCGGTGTTCACCGGTGTTGCAACTTTTTCAGACCGGTCCTCACTAACTGAGACTTCTTCGGACTGACCACTCGTGGACTCTGCAACAATCGAAGATATCCCATGTTTAGTCTTAACTCGCAGTTTATCTTCACTTTCGACTGTCTGTAAATTATCAGTCGAGATCAACGTATCCGTTGTCGACTTTTTTAAATCGGCGAAAGAACGATCTATCGAGGGCATTAAAGAGTCGCCTTCGTTGAAATTATTTTCCACTGGTATGTTCATGCTGCTTGCCGTCACTTCAACGAATAAAGTCGTATCAGCGGACCGTAATGTACCTGTTTCTAAACCCTTGCTTGAAATAATATGATCCTCCTTGTTAATGCTATTTCTATCAACGTTTGTATTGGATTTGTTCTCAACCACCGGAGACATCAATGTTACTGGAGAATTATTATTTGCAGGCTTCAATCTGGATTTGCGTTTCTCATGTTCGTTACTTTTTTCACTTTGTAACAGTTTATCAGTGAACGAAGTGGCATTTTCCAGATTGTGACTAGCTTCAAGTATTTCAGGATTCGAATCTTTACTGTCATCGGACATGACTGCGTCTTTGGAGGCTTTTGACTTGTCACGGTCAAAAATTGACGTCTCCTCGCTGCTAGCTTTTCTGTTAACTTTTGTTCTGTTAAGCCTAATAACAATCTCCTTTGTTATGAGATTGTCAAATGCACGATCGGTGTCATTTTGCTTTTCCACTTTATTATTCATTTCTGTAATCTCAGCGTCTTCAGTGATAATGATTGACTTATCTGCTTCTGAATCAGTTACCAGGGTAGTATCGCCTAAATCATTTAATGCTTCGGTGTTTGCAGATTGTGATGTCATTGTCAAAGACTCCTTCGTCGGTGAGACCCTCGATGGCGTTTCATCGTCTGATAACGTTTCTTTTATTTTTGCAGTTTTCTCTACGAGTATTGGACTCAATGATTTGCCATTATTTGATGTCAGATCAGTTATTGGTTCTTCCTGAGTAGTGGCTGTCACCACTGGTGACACATTATATTTTTCAATTTCTTTGTTACTACCATTTTGTAATTGCTCATCTGTAGAGCTGTTTAATACGCCTTCGATCTGCGATCCTAATTCTTTCGATGCTTCTACAGGAGTTTGTTTCACTGACTTATCAAACGACACCTCATTCGAATTTTCCATATTCATTTCATGACTTTTCTTTCTGGAATTCTTGGACAGGTTTAACGATTCTGGTGTTTTCAAATTGTCTATTAAGCTTTGGCTTGAATTACCTTTGTGCAATCCCAAAGACGACTGCTCAGGAGGGGTACTCGATACTTCAGCTGTGATAAATATGACATTTATGAATTTACATATATACAAAATCGAGTTATTAATATTCTATTCCAACCATTTGAAACAAGTTTTTCAAATTCCTTTTAGTTTGTTATTCATATAATTCCCAACATGTAATGCTTTGTTCTCTGCCAAGTCTTTTAAGTGAAGCAGAAATTAAGACTTTACATAACTTATGTCAAATGATTCAATTCTGATATAAAATATATAATCTGTCGAATTTTTCACCATGATAAACACCAAAGACAAAGAATTGTAGCTCTTGTGTTATTCAGTTATCTTGGCTGTTCTTTAATTTTGGGTAAAGGTTATGTTATAGACTGTAAGTTAACTTACGAAAATCATCAACTTCCATTTTTTCTTCGCTTCTATTTCTTTCTTCATTGATCGACATATTTTCCAAAGATTTAGTAGTGTCCTTGGACGAAGAGACATTTGAAGAATGATCCATATCTTCTACTTACACATGAATAGAAGAAATTAATATATGAACGACGGTGTAATACTTGTTCGTTGAGTACATGATTCTTACCTAATTCATCAATTTCAATCACAGATCTGTCAAGTCTTTTTGAAAAAGTAGCATTGGTCTCGACTTCCTCGGTCACTGCTGGTTCAGATGGCAAAACCGATGCCAGTCTCCAAATTCTGATGCCTGCATCCCGTACCATGGTAGATTGTAACGGCTCTGAATCGAATGGATTTGTGGACTCCAAGTCCATGGAAATAGCCCGTGTTTTTCGCGTGACTCGAGCAACCGGCGGTGTCGACTTTGTCTCGGAACCAGCCCTTGACCCACGTCTGTTAAAACAATTTGAAAGTAATGTAGAATATAAAAATTTTTACTTTTGTCTCATTTTCCATGCTTATCTAAAATCCCAGGATTGAAAACGCTACATTGCATTATTAGTTTAAGTAATAAAGTATAGCATTACGGTTTTCTGGTTGCTTTGGGCGTCGAAGGGATCGACGAGGTATTTTTTCTCGTAACACGTTTACTCGTCTCTTGGCTATTTTCAAACTCAGGAGTTTCGCTTATATCAGATGAAGTTGAAGTTTTTGTCGATCGTAAGACTCGGGCCATGTCCCTGTTCTTGGCTTCCATGGTGGTTGCCTGACATTGAGTTATTCTAACTCCTTGTGAATTGCCAAGTTCGTTTATCGACTCGGAAGATCCATCGGCAACCTGTTTACGTCTCGTGCTTCGACGAAGTGGCGAATTCATTATAGAATCTATAGTTACGATCGCTGCCCATGGACTGTAAACCGTACAAGGAAAAGTCTTAAGACAAATTAAACATACATTAATCACTGAAGATTCTATGCTCAAAGGACTGTTCGTCCTTCCTTAACTATCATGGTTAAGCACTAATTACTTTCAACGTATACTGGAGTTTGAAGAACTTCAAACAATCAAATGAGTCGTATAAAAACACGTATCGAAGATACGAAGCCGTTGCAACGAAAAAAAAAATAAAGCAATCAAGATTGCCTCGCAGGCAGGTACTTAAATGTACGTTCAAAAATTAATCATCTCTAGTTTCGGATTCCTCATCAGAGCTTTTAGGACGGCGAAGTATTGTGATTGGGTTATTTTACACATTAAATAGAAACTCCAGGGCGGTAATGGCAAAAAGATCGCTGAATGTGATACACCACGTGCTCCTTGGCAAAATTAACCATTGAACCACTATACCGGTTGATACCTCAGACCTAGACCTCGCATTGGACTTCCCACTCCAAGATTTCTAGTAAGCAGAATGGCTTTAATTGTGTGGGTGAGTTGTCGGGTCACGTGGTACATTCACTTTCCCCTTCCATTGCAAGGCGGTCTACCATAAATATATGGTCTTAAATCTGATTGGGTCCGAGTATGGTCGGTACACGTGTGCATGTGGTATTCCAGTTTTATCCCTTCCATTGCTATATGAGGTCTAGATATTTATGGTCTGAGGTTGATACTGGGCGCTATTACGTATTTTTTACGAGAGCGCTCACTTCTCGCACTTTCTTCTCACGTGGGTTTATTCCCCGAATTACGTATTCGTTATATGAACCAGAGATGATCTCTGTATGAACGAACGAGATCACTAGCATTTCTGGTCTAGCAATATTGCAAATAAAGGTACATACCTTGTAAATCGAAAATTGTTGAGAGGTAGGGGGTTAAAGGGCAGGAAAAGCGGGAAGATGGAAAGCCGTTAAAAGTAAAGAAGAGGATTCGAGTCTATCTACATTTTTTAAATATTTATTAGAATCGTATTTACATGTACTATAATTAGAAGTTCAACAATATAATTTCATGTCATGTATGCATGAATTATTTAACAGTTTTCAATGTTTAATAATGTAATATAATCTCGCGATAACAAAAACTAACATGTACATCCTAGTAAATTTTCTTTCTACTAACGAAAATGGGTCTGAGGCATCACGTAATTCCCTTCTTCTTCTAATATGGTTATAATTACTTCCCCGAATACGATTATTGCCACAAATCAAAACACCCAGGAGGTTATCCATTTTGAATTTCGGTTTCCAATCCATGGAATTCACTGTGCTTATTTTTCTATCTTTTCTTGTATGCTTCACCATTTCGCTTAAAAATTTGTGTCGAGCCACGTCATACGAATGGTCTCGCATATTCACCACCAACAACGTTCCGTAATACCGTGAGCTCCTCATTTTTCACATTTTCGCTCAATTCGCTTTACGTAATGGACTCCCTGATTGGTCGTCGAGTCGTCGAAACGGGCCAATCGGAACGTTCCATCGTGTCCATACTTAGAGTTCGAAAATTCTCGGTAACATTAAATTGGAGAAGGTAACTGTGAAACATACCGTAAGTTACCGGGAACATTGAATTTAAGAGAACGTTAATTTTGTTATTTATACTTTAGGTTTCTTCGTTTAAATAACTTTTTTTTTACAATCAACTTCAAAGTTCAAGCTATAGAGTAATAATTACTATTAGAAAATATTGATTATAGGGTCGTATTTACCTCCAGCTAAAAATCTTCACGTATGTACAATTTCACGGAAAATTCCATGCGATTTGTTTCAAACGAACTGATATTTCATTCTGCGACGAAGCGAATGGGAGGTTTTGATTGGCTACGGAGAACGTACAACGGAAATTTCCCTCTATGATGTTTCTCTATAGCTAATCGAAACCTCTCGTTCGCTCTGTTGAAAAATTCAAATTCTCATAATTTCTCCATAAAAAAAGCGTCGAAGAAATTACCGATAAATTACCGGGAATTTCTCTTCGTTTCTGACGTAACTTACTGGATTTAGAACCCTAGTCCATACGCGTCTGTAATTTCGGAACACACAACAGCCGGTCAGCGTTTCCGAACACACCCGAATCCTGCTGCAGACGATCCCCACGAGCGGCTGGAAGTTGGCCGCGCTCTCCGGTCGCACCTCTATAAATCTATCAGCCTCGTGCCACAACATTGCGTAGGCGCGTCGAGTGTCCGATATTCTCCCGTAGATTCCCCGGCCCGGCGAGTTATTTCGAGTCGGGCGAGCCTCCGCGGTTTAAACGCGAAGGAGAGGTCCGTTGAATCGTGCGGCGCCGTGCCTCTAGCGCTTCCGCCGGAACAGCATTGTCGCGGATGATCACGTGATCGAGGGTCGACTTCTTCGTTTGTGGCCACGAGGTTTTGTCGTGAAAATTGAGTTTACTGGGTGGAAGAGGCCCCCTATTTTTGTATCGGTACAAAAATGCCCTCCAGCAACCCCTTGCCACCCAAAGAAAATGCCTTGTTTAAGCGAATTTTGGTGAGTATCGCGCGCACGAGCTCCGCTGTTTTGGACCCCACTCCCCGGCTAATAGAGAAGTGTTGCTCCGTCCTCTAATGATGAAGCACTCTTCAAAAATTGAAATCCCCAGGAGACGAGTCCCTGGCGTCAACGGAATCTTTCCTGTTTGCGAAGACTGTAATGAGCATCGCAGAGTGATTCTGTTTTGGATCTTGTTCTTGCAGTCGACTGCAGCCATCGGAGTATAATAACGAATGGCTTTTCGGAGTCAAAAACATGTTATCTTGTATAGTTTGCTGAAGCTGCCGCCACCTCATGAATTAAAAGTCGATCCCGTGGCTTGTCCCTGTCTCGGTATCGAGTATCGTTGATCGTACTTCGCCGTTTTATTGAATTGTAGTCGATCTTCCTTGTCAGTAATTCGCTGCCGATCGGAGAGGCGTTGACATCCATTGTAACTGTTCGTAATCGGTGAGGTAATATCGAATCAATCGTTTGATCTTCTTGCAGAAATGTTACGAACACAAACAGTACAAAAATGGGCTGAAGTTCGCCAAGCAGATCTTGTCGAATCCCAAGTACAGCGAACATGGGGAGACCTTGGCGATGAAAGGTCTCACCTTGAATTGCTTGGGCCGCAAGGAAGAAGCTTACGATCACGTTCGAAGGGGGCTCAGAAATGATCTACAGTCCCATGTTTGTTGGCACGTCTACGGGTTACTACAACGATCTGATAAGAAATATGACGAAGCTATTAAGTGCTATCGGAATGCTCTCAAGTGGGATAAGGATAACATACAGATCCTTAGAGATCTTTCGTTATTGCAAATTCAAATGAGGGATCTAGATGGATACAAGGTGAGTTGTCTGTAATTATGATAAAATAATTCTGTTTATCGCATTTCAAATTGATTAATTTACGTAGTATGGTAAGCACCAATAGAGTTGTAATTTGGGGTGAAAATTGTGTTGCAGGACACAAGATATCAATTATTTATGTTACGACCTGCCCAGCGTGCGTCCTGGATTGGTTTTGCAATATCATATCATTTATTGAGAGACTATGAGACGGCTCTCAAGATTTTGGACACGTTTCGCAATTCCCCTATGGTAAGACCTCGAATACTATTAGTGAAATTTAACGAGCTAAACAGTGAGTACTAACTCGATGGTGTCTCGAATAAATAACAGCTTACTTTCCTCTGAAATGTCGCAAGCATAACAGGATATGTTGGAACACAATAAAAGCGTCGATTAATTCGTAGATTTGCTATGATTACGAGCACAGCGAGTTGCTACTTTATCAAAACATGGTGATCCAAGAGTCCGGAGAAAGCGAACAAGCTCTGAAGCATCTCGATAAGTACAGTGATCAGATTTGTGACAAAGTTACCGTAAAAGAAACTTACGGTAAGTCTCCACGCAGTTACTCTTACAATGTATTCGATTTGATTACGCTCCTGATCTCTTTGCTACGCGTTAGTTCGCGCAAGGGCCACCGCAGTAAAAGATGAAAATTTCCAGGTAAACTGAGGCTCGAATTGGGCCAGTACGCAGAAGCTGAGCAGGTCTACAAGGACCTGTTGAATTTAAATCCTGAAAACACAATGTACTATAGTAGACTGGCAGAAGCCGAAAGACACTCGACACAGGAGGAAACCCTCCGTATGCTCCAACGGTACGAAGAGCTGTTCCCACGTGCGCTGGCGCCGCGACGATTACAATTGAATTATGCGATCGGAGAACAGTTCAAGACCTTAGTCGACCGATACTTACGGAGAGGTACATGTTCCAATTAATTAAAAGAAGGGCTTCGAGTCGGACCCAAAGTATCTAGCTTGGATAGACGCGTAGTTCACGGTAGACTTATCAATTAATCGCTCAAGTGGGAGTTCAAGGTTCACTGAGTATACTCGTTGTAGGTCTTCACAAAGGTGTACCTCCGTTGTTCGTTAATCTTCGCTCCTTGTACACGGATCAGGAAAAGGTAGACACCGTACAGTCGTTGCTCCTCGAGTACAAGGACGCGCTGAAGGCGCACGGCCACTTCAGTGACCTGGAGAAGGAGAACCCTCGAGAGCCGCCCTCGGCTTTACTCTGGACGTACTATTACCTAGCCCAGCACTACGATCACCTTGGTCTTACGGAAAAGGCGCTAATGGAGATCGACGCAGCCATCGATCACACCCCTACGCTCATTGAACTTTTCGTAACGAAAGGGCGAATCTACAAGGTACATCCGCGATCGACGGTCGTCCGGGACTTGTTACACATTTCTCGTTGGATGTAGATTAACCGCGTCCCTTCCTCAGCATGCTGGAAATGTCCAGGAGGCGTACAAGTGGCTCGACGAAGCCCAGAGCCTGGACACCGCGGATCGTTATATCAATTCGAAGTGCGCTAAGTACATGCTCCGCGCTAACCTCATCAAGGAGGCTGAAGAGACCTGCGGGAAGTTCACGAGGGAAGGAGTCCTGGCGATGGAGAACCTCAACGAGATGCAGTGCATGTGGATACAGACCGAGGCGGCGAGGGCGTACCAGCGCCTCGGCAAGTACGGCGAGGCCCTGAAGAAGTGCCACGAAGTCGACAGGGTAGGTCCCCGATTACCGTCTTGTATCCTGCTGGGGATGAGTGTCTTCTCCTCCTACACTGGTATCTCCTGAGAAGGCATTCGCGTCCACCGCTTTACCGCCTTCCTCTGAACGCCTTCGCCTAATTTTAACGCAGCATTTCTCGGAAATCATGGAGGACCAGTTCGACTTTCACACGTACTGCATGAGGAAGATGACCCTGCGCTCTTACGTTGGACTGCTCAGATTAGAGGACGTACTGCGCTCGCATCCGTTCTACTTCAAGGCCGCCAAGTGTGCGATAGAAGTCTACCTTAGATTACATGATCACCCGTTACCAGACCCCACGCAGACTCAAGAAATCGACACCGGTGAGTTGCATTCAAGTATTTCTCCTCCTTCCTCCTTAAGGGGATATGAAAGTGGCATAATGTAAATCGTTCATGAAGCTTTTATGCGAACTGGGTGTACCGAATCGTTTTAAACTTTACAACGTGTACATGGAGGCTATAAGGAAGGTCTTGACACTCGTGAAATTTAATTTTTTATAACAGATCTTGAAAATATCAAGCATTCAAGTATTCCTCCTTAAGGAGATATGAAAGTGGCATAACGTTAATCGTTCATGAAGCTTTTATGCGAACTGGGTGTACCGAACAACGCTAGGCCCTCTTAGTAGCTAAAGGGTTAAGGCCGTCACGAGGTTGCCGGTGGTTTTCTAAAGTCACGATGCTGCTGAATAAGTATGCAGAGTAGGGGCGATCGCTGTTTGATATCAATTCTTTAACCCTTCGAACACGGAGCCATTTCGACATATGGGCGAAATTCCTCTGACCGTGCAGGCGATATTGGACCAAACATAGGGCGCCTTTAGGCGCTCTTAGTAGCCAAAGGGTTAAGGTCGATTAATCCCAACAAAATATCCAGAGCGTGCCAGAACAATGTGAAACAGTGCCTTTGAAACGCATTTCACAAGGCTTTGTTCGTATATTACGAGATTCGACCTTTAATCGGCGAGCGTCATGGACGCGGTCGATTGTCTATTTGCTCTCAAAGTAGCTCCCAATTGCGCCATGGATCTCTAGTCGGCTCTCGAGCTAATTAGGGCGCCTAGGAGCAATCATAAATTCGAGATAAACATTTACTACGGGTCGCAATTAGCCTGGACATTGTGCAAAGTCAACCAGTGTATGTACTTACAGTACTTATACTATTTCATAGTTTAGCTACTAATAAAAAATGAAGCTTGGTGATCAGCTGATTCGAGCAGTCACGGCCTAAGGCTTCAATTTTAAGCGGAAAAAATCCCGCAATTGGTCGTTTCTTCGCGTCGAGGGATTATCGGGGTATCTATGTATAAGAGATGCAACTCTTTATACTACTTCGTGGCTTGGCCACTAATAAAAAATGAAGTTTGGTGATCAGCTGATTCGTGCAGTTGCGGTCCCGGGGTTCAATTTCGGGAAATAAAAATCCCACGACCGGTCGTTTTTTCGCGTCGAGGGTTTATCAGGGTATCTATGTTCCTCCTTATCGAGGGGCATAAGAATAGCTGCGGATCTCGGCGATCGAGCTGAAACGCGGAATATCGCGGTGGAGGCTGCTACGCCTTTTCAATACATGACGATACGACGTGGAGTATAATTAGATGCAACTCTTTATACTACTTCGTGCTTTGGCCAATAATAAAATACAGCGGGTCGCAATTAGCCTGGCCATTGTGCAATGACAACCAGTGTACAAGATCGTAAATCGTCCGCTGGGTCTCTTTGGACTTTGTCGAGGACTTTTATCCATCTAATTTCAATTGATAAGCCGGGTGGATATTAATTTTCGTGTGACGTTACGATGCAATGTAGAGTATAAAGAGATGCAACTCTTTATACTACTTCGTGCTTTGGCCAATAATAAAATACAGCGGGTAGCAATTAGCCTGGACATTGTGCAAAGTCAACCAGTGTATACTGGGAGACATCAATGCCCTTCCATCCTGCATAGGCGATGCCGTATCTGCCGAGAAGGCATTCATGTCCGCCATTGTACAAGATCGTAAATCGTCCGCTGGGTCTCTTTGGACTTTGTCGAGGACTTTGATCCATTTAATTTCAATTGATAAGCCGGGTGGATATCAATTTTCGTGTTAACAATACCTTCGAAAGGGGCGCCACCCGTAGGGGGGAGGGTCTTGGGAAAGGGGTACCGAAGATGGAGCAATCGAATAGATAACTGGAGTTTATTAATCGCTCGATCGGGCGACGTTATAGATCGCGTATGCACGTACTTATCAATCGTTAATCACAGACGGTACAACGCACAGGTATGCAAATGTAACATATTCGATCCTGGGGGGGGGGGGCGTGTAACGAGAGCCGATAACGCCTTCGCCGAGTAAATTAAACGTCATAAATTAAGCACTCTAGCGCAACTCGCAATAATATTATCTCGCTAACTTAGCTGGCTATATATACACGGAATAAATACTAGGGGGTACATCCTGCTGATACAGCAATTAGGTATACACACGCGTACAGAAACTTGCCCTTGATCATCGGGCCCCATCGGGCCCGTCTCTATCTCCCGGGTGATACATTCGAAATAAGGACAGGGTGCGATTAAATAATTAAATTAAATTATGTACAATCGCTTAATATCTAGTAGGACGAACGACGTGAGTTTCTGGGAATCTCCGATTGATTAGCTCGAAATTTAGGAGGGGGTGATAGGTAGAGGGAGGGGGAGTGATATCCCATATCACGGATATTTCCGACCCGGAAGTCGGGTATGGCATGTCCGGTCAGGCCCTAGATTGGGCCTGATCGAAATTCTTTATGATCTAGGGGGTAATCGGCGAGAGGAAGAGGGGAGTGATAGCATATCACGGATGTCTGCGGATCGAGGTCTTGTATGGCATGATGGGTCAGGCCCTAGATTGGGCCTGATTGAAATTTTTCATGATCTAGGGGACGAATTGGCAAGGGGTGAGGGGATTAATATGGTATATCACGAATAATTGCGAGCAGGGAATCGGGAATGTCATGTGTAATCAGGCCCCGGAATGGGCCCTATCGAAATTTTTCATGATCTAGGGGACGAATTGGCAAGGGGTGAAGGGATTAATATGGTATATCACGAATAATTGCGAGCAGGGAATCGCGAATGTCATGTCTAGCCAGGCCCCGGATTGGGCCCTATCGAGATTCCTCATGATCTAGAGGACGAATTGGCAAGGGGTGAGGGGATTAATATGGTATATCACGAATACTTGCGAGCAGGGAATCGCGAATGTCATGTCTAACCAGGCCCCGGATTGGGCCTGATTGAAATTTTTCATGATCTAGGAGACGAATTGGCAAGGGGTGAGGGGATTAATATGGTATATCACGAATACTTGCGAGCAGGGAATCGCGAATGTCATGTCTAGCCGGGCCCCGGATTGGGCCCTATCGAGATTCCTCGGGGTGGAGATGATGGATAAGGGAAAGAAGGAAAGTTATATCGCGTATCGCGGATATCTGTGACCCAGAAGTCGCGAATGTTAGGTCCGGTCAGGCCCTAGATTGGGCCCTATCGAAATTCCTCGCGACCTACGGGACGAATTGGCAACGGGAAGAGGGGATTAATACCGCATATCACTGATATCTGCGACTCGGAAGTCGTGAATGTCATGTCTAGCCAGGCCCCGGATTGGGCCCAATCGAAATTTCTCGGGGTGGAGATGATGGATAAGGGAAAGAAGGGCAATTTTATCACGTATCGCAGATATCTGTGACCCAGAAGTCACGAGTGTTAGGTCCGGTCAGGCCCTAGATTGGGCCCATTCCAAATTCCTTGCGACCTAGGGGACAATTGACGAGAGGAAGAGGGATGTGATACCGCATATCACGAATATCTGCGACCCGGAAGTCGTGAATGTCATGCCAGGTCAGGCCCTAGATTGGGCCCACTCGAAATCTCTTGTAACCTCTGGGTCAATGGACAAGGGGATGACGGGATCGATACCGGTTATCACGGACCCCTGCGGCCCGGAAATCGCATATGGCATGTCCGGTCAAGCTCTAGCCGGGGTCCGCAGTCTTCGGGCCCGCCTCGGGCCCCTGGGCCTGGGGTATAGGTAACCGGCCCTTTCCTGCCTCTGAGCGACCGTGTGCGGGGTCAGGAAGTAGAAATGTCCACCGTCTCCGGGGAGACGGTACGCGAAGTAGGAGCTGGCCCGGTCGCGAACGGGCCCAATCAGCTCGGCGTCCGGGTCGATGGGGGGTCTGGGGCGCCGGTAGTTGACGGCGATGTCGCCCTCGAGGGACACGACGGGCGAGGGTGGGTATAAATCAACCCCGCGGTCCGGCTGGCCCCGGCGGTTGTAGGGCCCCAAAAGTCCCAGCGAAGACGCAGTGGGCGCAACAGGTGCAACAGGTACTTCTTGAACCACTCTCTGAACCGCGTAATCAGGCCCCAGGTTCCTATGACCCTGCTTTTCAAACCGTTGGGCCCGATCCTCGAACTCTTGGGCCCGGATTCTTGAAGAGGGCCCACCGTGTCCCTGGACGATTGGGACCGGCTCACTGTCAGGGTTAATAGGCGGTAATGGGTGTCGATAGTTGACCAGAGTGTCTCCGTGGAGCGAGAAAGGGCGCTGCGTCTGGTCCCCGTAGTGCACCTTGACCTGGGGCCCTCTTCCGGGCCCTATTCCTGGGCCAGGTCGCAGGTGCATGCTTTTTATAGGCGGCCGGTCGGTGATCGCGTTGACTCCCTCGGGATACAGCGGGGTCGTGCCTGTCGGGGCCTTACCACCGCCTAGCCTCTTCCCGAAGATGGTGAAGTACTCCCTGGTGACGTCGTCCAGGAGTTGATCGTCCTGCTCGGTATAGAAAGCATGTCGCGGGTTGGGGGTGGTGGCCTCCACCTCCGGGTAGGTTAGCTCCGAGGGGATCTGACCGCTCTGTGGCAGCCTCCTCTGCTGCGGCTGCTCCCTCGGCACTTCCTCGACCCCGTAATCCTCGTATCTGTTGACCTCATCTCTGATCTCTTGGTACTCGTAGGACACTGGTTCCGGTTCCGACTGAGGCTCCGGTATCGGCTTCCGACTCTGCTGGGGGTAGTTAGCTGCTTCATAGCTGAACTGGTAAATCGGTTTTGGGCCCGTTGACGGGGCCAGGTTGTACCCCTCCTCCCTGGTGCTCCCCAGGTATGTTCGAGGTTTGCTAGAAGAGAGGAGGTTCCGCAGAGAGGAGGGCCCTGGGGTCACAACATGGAGGAACAGGTGTGCAGGGTTGCTCTCCGTCCTGGGGACGACCTGGGGCTCGTTCAGGGCCCGAGACTCCTCCACGAAGTTGATGGAGTTCACCAGGCCCCGGTCTCTGGAGGTCTGACGCGACGGCAAGGTCTCCACGTCGTAGGATTGCTGCGGTTTCGGACGATCCTCGGCTGGTCGCTCCAGGACTCCGAAGACCGGGGCCTCTGTCGTCGTCGAGAAGGTGACTGGACCCTCGGAGAGGGGCCCGTTGTCGCTGGAGTCCCCGTAGAAGTAGTAGGACGCGTGGTTGGGGCGCCCCGTGACGACGGTCTCCAAGGGTGCCGGGGTTGCCTCCACGGTTTGGTCCACCGAGGACGGGGTCGACGGGTAGTAGACGACTAGAGGACTGAACCTCCTCCCCGGGGTCCAGGGGGTCTTCTCTTCTACTCGGTGCTCGGTATCGGAGTCGGGTCGTAGGTGCTTCACTTCAGACTGTACCCTTAGGGGCTTTACTTCAGGTTCTACTCCCAGGTGCTTCACTTCCGTCTCTACCCCCAGGTGCTTTACTTCAGAGTCTACTCCCAGTTGCTTCACTTCAGGCCTTACTCCTAGGTGCTTCACTTCGGGCCTTACTCCTAGGTGCTTTACTTCAGGCCTTACTCTTACATGCTTCACTTCAGATCTTATTCCTAGGTGTTTCACTTCAGGTCTTACTCCTAGGTGTTTCACTTCAGAGTCTACTCCCAGGTGCTTCACTTCCGAGGCTACTCCCACGTGCTTCAATTCAGGTCCCATTTCCTGGTGCTTCACTTCATATCCAGCAGTAGAAACTTCCGGCCTCTCGCTACCGGTAGTATCATACCTCGTGGCCCCAGTCTTCCAGGGCGAGCCCGTTGCGTTCTTCAGCTTCGTCTTGCCGACCCCTTTCGAGCGGAACCTCGTCCTCAGGGTGGGCCCGCTCGTTGTAGTAACTGGGATGCTATAACTCTTATGAGGTTTCGTCTTCCTGAAGCGAGGAGGTGCTCTCTCAGTTCCAGGTTGAACGGGCGAGTCCTTCGGGGTCTTCTTCGCGGTATCATCCTCCTCCTCCTCCCCCAAGAAGAAGTCAGGAGGCGGGGGCAGGATGATGCCAGGAACCAGGGGACCCGGGGGCACTTCCGTCGAGTTTCCCTGCTCGTACCGGAAGCTGTACGGTGGAGGGTAGTAAAGGGACTGGTCCTCGTCTTCGTGGTCCGAGTGGTTCCCAGGAGGAGGCACGAATACGGCCCCGGGAGGCAGCGCCGGGAAGAAAGGTCCCGGGACTCCTAGTGGCGGCCGGGTCGTGTTCTTCCCTGTAGCCGGGGTCCCCTCGACGCGCCCCGGAGACGGGCCTCCCACGTCGGCGAAAAACGGCCCCTGCCCCGGGAGGAACCCCTTCCTCGGAGGAGAGGTGACCCCCTCCAGGGTGTCGTTTCTGGTCTCGCTTCCGTTTTTCCCCAGGACTCGCACCGGCCCCCCTTCCTCGAGTTGCACCGGGAACGGGGGCGGTACCTGCGGTCGCTTCGGGATCTTGACCGGCCTCCTGGGGGCCTCGTAGTCGTCGATCGGGCCCCATTCCTGGGCCCCACCCTGGCTCGATTCGCGCTCAGGAAACCTCCCTCCTCGCAGCACTAGGACGTGGTTCTCTGCCAGCCAGATCTCCTCCTCGTCCAGGCCGCCCAGGGTGCGCGCGGTGTCTCTGGGCACTTCCGGATTCCCCAGGTAGCTGATGATCCCTGGTCGCTCAGGGCGATCCCGGTGGATCTCGTTCTGGATCAGACCGTACTTTCCCTCCTTCACCTGCTGCGAGAGCGTCTTTTTCTCGTCCTCGTCGTCGCCCTCGGTTTTGGGAGGCTTTCGCTCGCGTCCGCTCCCTGCAGAGGAGGCCACCAGGTCCTCGGGTACTCTTGACTCTTCCGTGATCCGCAGGTGACCCCCTACTAGCTGGTGGGTGACCTTTCGGTCAACGCCACCTGGCACTGAGTTCAAGGCCGCGTTGGGGATGGTCAGGGATCGCGGTGGCCGGATGGAGTTCGAGGTGTCCGAGATGTCGACCTTCCTGGACGGGCTTGTTTCCTGGGGACTCGTCGCGGTGACGAGGGCGGTGGTTGTCCATATCGTGGTCAGGAGCAGCAGGAACCCTCGTGGGTTCAGAGCCATCTGGAATGATAAGATATTCGGGCGTTATGTGGGAATTAGGGGTTTAGACATCGGTAAATGTGAAATCCATCAGTCGACTGCGAATATGAAATTTAGGAATCGGCAGTAAATATGAAATTTAGAAACCGGCCGTGAATATGAAATTTAGGAATAGGCAGTGGATATGAAATTTGGAAACCGGCAGTGAATATGAAATTTAGAAATCGGCTGCGAATATAAAATTTAGGAATCGACAGTGATTATGAAATTTGTAAATCGGCAGTGATTATGAAATTTGCAAATCGGCAGTGAATATGAAATTTAGGAACTGGCAGTGAATATGAAATTCAGGCATCTGCAGTGAATATGAAATTCAGGAATAGGCAGTGGATTTGAAATTTAGGAACCGTCAGTGAATATGAAATTTAGGAACCGGCAGTGAATATGAAATTTAGGAATCGGCTGCGAATATAAAATTTAGGAATCGGCTGTGAATATGAAATTCAGCGGTAGAAAGTGAATGAAATGTTCACCGATCAGCTGTGAATAAGGAACTCCACGATCAGCTGTGTATGAATAAATTCAGTGATCACCTCTGAATAAGAAACTTAGTATTCTGGCGTGAAACTCTGTAATCAGCTGTGAATAAAAAATGCACAGATCAGGTGCGAATAAAAAATTCACTGTTCCGCCGCGAGTGAAAGACCAACCGTGAATAAATAGTTTACAGATCGGTTGTAAATAGAAAATTCACTGTTTGGCTCATGAAGTAGTTTAAGTAGACGCAACGCCTATGGTTGGTTCCACAGAAAGTGGCCCCAGAGTAAATAGAAAATTCACCGTTTAACTCATAAAGTAGTTTAAGTAGACGCAAAGCCTATGGTTGGCTCGACAGAAAGCGGCACCAGGAGTCGGGACCCAGGATCTCAGATTTTCGCTGATCTAACGATGAGAGCGCTACTTGCGGCAATTCAGGGAACTCTAATTCTAAGTAGACACCGAAACAATTCCTACCGACATAAATTATCTATAATGCTTATAATTTTGCAATTTAGGTACGCAAAGCGAAAGGGTAATTCGCTCATAATGTACAGAATGTGACGTTTTTAACGCGATAAAGACTGGCAGATTTAATTTATAATTGCATTTTATATCATTTTTAATTGCAAAACTTCCTCGAGGAGTCGCTCTCGGCGCTAGATCAGAAAAAATCTGAAAATCTTGGACCCCTAATGCGGGGACGATTTCAATACATGGCGTTAAATCTCATATTAATTCATGGTTTAGCTACTAATAAAAAATGAAGTTTGGTGATCAGCTGATTCGAGTAGTCACGGTCCCGGACTTCAGTTTGAGCGGAAAAAATTCCGCGATCGGTCGTTTCTTCGCGTCGAGGGATTATTAGGGTATCTATGTTCCTCCTTATCAAGGGGTATAAGAATAGCTGCGGATTTCGGCGATCGAGCTGAAACGCGGAATATCGCGGCGGAGGCTGCTACACGTCTTTTCATATACATGACGATGTAGAGTACATAGAGATGCAACTCTTTATACTACTTCATGGTTTAGCTACTAATAAAAAATGAAGCTTGGTGAGCTTAATAGCTAAACCAGAGATGCATCTCTTTATACTACTTCATGGTTTAGCTACTAATAAAAAATGAAGCTTGGTGATCAGCTGATTCGAGTAGTCACGGTCCCGGACTTCAATTTTGAGCGGAAAAAATTCCGCGATCGGTCGTTTCTTCGCGTCGAGGGATTATCAGGGTATCTATGTTCCTCCTTATCAAGGGGTATAAGAATAGCTGCGGATTTCGGCGATCGAGCTGAAACGCGGAATATCGCGGCGGAGGCTGCCACGTCTTTTCATATACATGACGATGTAGAGTACATAGAGATGCAACTCTTTATACTACTTCATGGTTTAGCTACTAATAAAAAATGAAGCTTGGTGAGCTTAATAGCTAAACCAGAGATGTATCAAGAGATATAGATGTATAAAGATATACTACTTCATGGTTTAGCTGCTAATAAAAAATGAAGCTTGGTGATCAGCTGATTCGAGTAGTCACGGTCCCGGACTTCAATTTTGAGCGGAAAAAATTCCGCGATCGGTCGTTTCTTCGCGTCGAGGGTCTGTCAGGGTATCTATGTTCCTCCTTATCGAGGGGCATAAGAATAGCTGCGGTTTTCGGCGATCGAGTTGAAACGCGGAATGCCACGGCGGAGGCTGCCACGCCTTTCCCCGGGCGGTGAACGGGCGGCAGTCGGCAAACGTTCACGGGTCACTGGAGTGCGGGACCGACTCGTAATGACTTGCAGCCTTTTCTGAGCTAACCCACGGCCGAGTGCACGTTTCCGTCCAGATGCATTCGGTGCACTTTCTGCACGGATCTCTCCCGAGAGAGCTACGCCCGATCCGCGCGGAAGCATTCGCGAGGCGAGGCCACTTCGTCGGGGACTCTCCCACCCTGTCGGAAATCTTTGGAAATTTCATACACCTCAAGTATACAAGGTGCACTTAGGGGTAATCAAAATACCCCGAAAGTAGCAATTTCACTTGACAATGGAAATTAGTAGGCGAGGCCGCCACGTCGGGGTCGTTTGAACATTGTTAGGAAGAGTTTCTAAATTACATATATTTCAAGTTAACAACGTGGGTCTCTAAACATGTCTCTAAACAGGGTGCCTCCACCCTGTCGGAAATCTTTGGAAATTTTATACATTTCAAGTATACAATGGCGGGCATGAATGCCTCCCCTGCAGATACGGCATCGCCTGTGCAAGGTGGGAGGGCATTGATGTCTCCCAGTGTACAAGGTGCACTTAGGGGTAATAAAAATATCCCGAAAGTAGCAATTTTACTTGACAATTAAAATTATAGGCGGGGCCGCCAATACTCTACAAACGTTTTAAAAATATTTAAAATTAAAATCACACGTTTTGCGTCAATGATGAAAGAGCAGGACGAAGCAGCAGGTGAGATGTAAAAATTGGAAAAAAATATTTATACATTTTTTTGTGCCACTAGGGTCTTGTTGTCCGTCCCTGTGGGGAAGGTGTGTACCGATTGCTTTCGGGGGAATTAATTGGGAAATTATTGACGACCGATCGGCATTCGAAGGCACTCGACACGTGACGGTTTCCGTCATCTTTCTCACATCAAGTGAGAAGTAAAGATTAGAAAAAAATATTTATAAATTATTTAGTGCCACTAGGGTCTTCTTGTCCGTCTCTGCGGGGGAGGTGTGTATCTATTGCTTTCGGGGGAATTAATTGGGAAATTATCGACGACCGATCGGCATTCTACGGCACTCGACACGTGACGGTTTTCGTCACCTTTCTCACGGCGTGTGAGAGCATGACCAAGGACGACTTCCCTAGCAATGGTAGTCGGCATTTCCGTGCCGGTAAACGCGAGGTTTAATTGCGGCTGAAAGTACACGAGATAAAAGAAAGAGAGAGAGGAGAGAAATATGCTCGAACGAAAATCGCAGTTTCATCCGGAGTTTCTTGTCGAGATGCGCACTGAAAAAAAAAATCCCATGGCAATTTCCATAGATCATTACTCCCTGCATATCGGAAGTTCTGCATAAAAAAAAAAAAAAACGTAAAATGAACTGCAAAATGCACTAAAAACAATCCCATAGAAATTTACATACATCTTTAATAACCTGCATATCGGAGGTCTGCATAAAAAAAAACGTGAAATGAACTGAAAAATGCACTAAAAACAATCCCACGTAAATTTACATACATCTTTACACCCTGCATAAGGGATGTTCTAGACAAAAAAGGCGTAAAAGGGAAAAATTACAAATCGGAAAATGTATATATGCCCGTGACATTGTATATTTCCTGCATGCCTGCATTTTTACTTGAATTAAATGTAACGTTACAATGTAGCTTTTCTCGTGGCATGTAAGACCTCTACCGTGTATGTAAATCCACAGGTTACCTAGTAAATTTACATATTGACGCGGATAAATATACGCTGCTGGGGAAAACTACATAGGATGTAAACTTGGCTAATCAAATCGACTAAATTCAATCACGGGATCCCCATGCGTTTTCTCGTTTGAAAACAATGACAAACGCGTCGAAACGTCTCCAGGATAGACGGCGCGTCGTGCCGCATATCATTAATTGTCGCGGGCTTTTGATAGTTGAAGATTCAGGCAATCTCCGGAGCTGACTTGCCTTGGTCTAGTGATATCGAATTGACGCGAAAAAAGTAAGTACCTACCCAGGAAAGTGTCTTACAATTACGGTTACGTTTTAACGTGGAATATGTTTTAATAAGTTTACGCCTGGGTTACCAGACGAGGCCCATCAATATTATCCCCGATTGGAAGATTACCCCCAAAATTTACATACATAATGTAGACCAATTATATATTTCACATGTGAAATTACTCTGTGTATGTAATATTACCTATTATGTTAACATATAAAATGTCCGCCTAGGATACATTCTTTGGGTAAATTTATACGCCGAATGTGAAATTACCCAGACAATGTAATTTCATTGTTATTAATTGTGGCATCGAAATAATCAATGATCTAGGGTGTAAGTTTACCGATTGAAAGATTACCCCTCAAATTTACATATATTATGTAGACCAATTATAAACATTTCACATGTGATATTACCCAGACAATGTAATTTTACGTTATTAATTGTGGCATCGAAATAACCAATGATCTAGGGTGTAAATTTGCATGGGGATGTTTTTTTTTCCAGTGCGCGTTTACTCGTGGATCGATGATGAGAAAAATGGGAGTAAAAGTTAAAGAGACAGAATCGACAGCTAGTCTTAGCCGCTTCCTCGGCTAGGTTATTTAATTTAGCTCGCGCCGCTTTCAGAACGCTTTCCTTCGCCATTAACGCGGTCGTTAATTCCTCGTGGCTCGGAAAAGGAAGAGCCTTTTATTTTTTACCCCTTCTCTCTCTCTCCGATGGGGAATTCGAGTTATTATAAGTGTCGAGATTGACGGGTGAGATATATCGGGAAGGGGCGACTTCGAAAAGGGAACACCTTGGCATTGCCCCAGAAATGATCGGCTCGTCTCCTTCATCTTTATTTCTCTCTGAAGAGGGATAAATGGAGAGAGGATGTAACCCTGACATGATTTATATCCCACTTCCGGGAATTAATTCATCTCTTAACCCTTTGGCTACTAAGAGTGTCTAAAGGTGCCCGACGTTTGGTCCAATATTGCCTGCACGGTCAGAGGAATTTCGCCCATATGTTGAAATGGCTCAGTGTTTGAAGGGTTAAAAAATTGATATCAAGCAGCGATCGCCCCCACTCTGTATAATTATTCAGTAGCATCGTGGCTTTAGAAAAACACTGGCAACATCTTGGCAACCTTAACCCTTTGGCTACTAACAATAAGAGCGCTTAAAGATGCCCGACGTTTGGTTCAATATTGCCTGCACGGTCAGAGGAATTTCGCCCATATGTCGAAATGGCTCCGTGTTTAAAGGTTTAAAGAACTGATATCAAACAGCGATCGCCCCCACTCTGTATAATTATTCAGCAGCATCGTGGCTTTGGAAAAACACCGGTAACATCTTGGTAGTTTTAACCCTTTGTCTACTAACAATAAGAGCGCGTAAAGGCGCCCGACGTTTGGTCCAATATTGCCTGCACGGTCAGACGAATTTCGTCCATATGTCGAAATGGCTCCGTATTGAAAAGATTAACCCTCATAAACTCGCGAATTACCTTCGTACTCTTCCTCCTCCACCCTCGCTTTCTTCAACGGCGATCAACGCTCCATTTATGGCCTCACACAAGACTCATGTTTCGCAGCATCGCAGATGAAACGGGGGGGAGAAACAAGTGGGGGGGATTTTCGCGGCCTCGACCCCGACCGTGACCTGGGTCACTCTCTGCGCCCACGTGGGACTCCTCGCTTCGGTTCCTCTTGTCAGATTTGTTGAGGAAGTTTTGTCAAATTTCCGTCATATTGGGAATTTATCGCCAAACAGGTGTTATCAAACTGTTCGCGCACTCACGTTTACTTCATACCCTCGTTTGACTTTTGTCAAGTTTTGTCAAATTTGCGCAATGTCGAGAGATGATCGCCAAACAAGTGTTATCAAACTGTTCGCGCACTCTCGTTTACTTTATACTCTCGATTGACTTGTGTCAAGTTTTGTCAAATTTGCGCAATGTCGGGAAATTATCGCCAAACAAGTGCTGTCAAACTGTTCGCGCACTTTCGTTTACTTCATACCCTCGATTGATTTATGTCAAGTTTTATCAAATTTGCGCAATGTCGAGAGATGATCGCCAAACAAGTGTTATCAAACTGTTCGCGCACTCTCGTTTACTTCATACCCTCGATTGACTTTTGTCAAGTTTTGTCAAATTTGCGCAATGTCGAGAAATTATCACGAAACAAGTGTTATCAAACTGTTCGTGCACTCACGTTTACTTTATACCCTCGATTGACTTTTGTCAAGTTTTGTCAAATTTGCGCAGTGTCAAGAGATGATCGCCAAACAAGTGTTATCAAAACTGTTCGCGCACTCTCGTTTACTTCATATCCTCGATTGACTTTTGTCAATTGATACCGCGAAGCGGTGTCCTGATGTTTCTCGACCGACTAGTGCGACTTGGACCTGAGGCCTCCTGTTAAAGGTATTCTTGGGGCCCGGAATGCGCGAACGGGGGATTTAAAAAATGATAACTCACGCGGCGGAAGATTTCGCGGCGCCTCCGAGCCGCATAATTACCGGCCCGGGTAAATCCTGGCTGATTCACGGCCGAAAACGCGGCGCGGGGACGTCACGCGTCCTATCCGCATTCCGCCGCGGCGGAATCTCCGAGGCGTTCCTCGGTATTACGTCAAACGGCGCGGATTTTGTTTTCGATTTTTTTTTTCTCATTCCCTCCTTCGTTTCGCTTTAATTTATCCGCCACGAGTTTCGGAGAGGACATCTCTTGAGTCGCGATAATTGAAGTTTGTACGTTAAGAAACGGAAATGCAATGGAAAGTGAGACATTCAATTGTCGGTACTTAATAAGAAAGAGGAGCTTCACTTCCAGTTTAGTTCTTTTTTTTTTTATGAGGCGATTTTTTTACGCGATACTTGTTACGTTGTATGTTTAGAAACGGGAATTTAATGAACAGTGAGGTATTCAATTATTCATAATTAATCATGAAAGGAGAGGTTCTAATTCCACCTTTTTTTTATTAGAGGATTTTTTTATGCGATACTTCTTACGTTGTATGTTTAGAAACGGTAATTTAATGAACATTGAGGTACTTAATTATTCATAATCAATCATGAAAGGAGAGATTTTACTTCCAGTTGTTTTTTTATTAGAGGATTTTTTGCAAGCCACGCTTTTTATATCGCGATAGTGTAAAGTTCGCAAGCTTCGAAACGGGGGTGAAACGAAATGTGAAACTTGTAATTTTATTCTACCTTTTGTGTATTTAATATTGTTTATATTAATCTTAGATTTTTTCATTCCCTCCTTCGTTTCGTTTTAATTTACCTGCCACGAGTTTTGGAGAGGACATCTCTTGAGCCGCGATAATTGAAGTTTATACGTTAAGAAACGGAAGTGCAATGGAAAGTGAGACATTCAATTGTCGATACTTAATAAGAAAAGAGGAACTTCATTTCCAGTTTAGTTCTTTTTTTTTATGAGGCGATCTTTTTACGCGATACTTCTTACGTTGTATGTTTAGAAACGGTAATTTAATGAAGAGTGAGGTACTTAATTATTCATAATTAATCATGAAAGGAGAGATTTTACTTCCAGCTGTTTTTTGATTAGAGGATTTTTTGCAAGCCACGCTTTTTATATCGCGATAGTGTAAAGTTCGCAAGCTTCGAAACGGGGGTGAAACGAATTGTGAAACCTGTAATTTTATTCCCCCTTTTGGGTATTTAATACTGTTTATATTAAACTTCTTGTGTTATATTACAAAAACTTATGTAGGCATACTCGTTAGAATCGTTGTGTAATTCTATGAGTTAATTGTTGTCGCTTAATAGTAAAAAAAGAAGTTTCACTACAAATTTACTTCTTTTATGCTCGGTTAGCTTTTTGAAAGCGACATCTCATATCACGGTAGGGTAATTGCACATTGCATAAAGGATTATAATGAAAAGTTAATTCAATTACTTTTATAATTAATCGCGATTCTTGGTCATCTTTGTAGGTCAGTATCAAGAAGATTAGTTCGGACGTTTTCGTCAGTATCGGTGCGTTACTCTCTCTCTCATTGAATCGTTGACACTTAAATAATAAAGAAAAAAACTTTCCCTCGACCTATTATTATTTTATTTGTTTATTTTTATTCCACGAGGGGGTTTCGCCGCGACAGGAAGGATTTGCGGGAACTGCTCTCGTTATATCGGACAACAGGTGACCCCGATTGAACAACGGCCATTGTTGCGCGGATTTGCAAAGAGGCTCCGCTAAAAAGTGCGACAGATCGATCGACCGTAAGCGATAATAGCAAAAGTAAACGTTCTCTTTGAGGGTCCAGGCCGAAGAAAGGTCCTTTGATCGGCGACACACAATAGCTTGCGACACGCCTCGACGAAATCGGGCCACGTTGCTAAACTCGGAAAAGGCCCGAATCATGGGGCCCGATTAGGGCCCTCGAAACCTTTGCCCGACTTCCGGCACTGTTTACCCGCTTCAGCGGTAAGCTCTTTTGGCGTATGGTCGAATTTCGTCAGGGCGTACAAGCAATATTCGACCAAACGTCCGGCCTTATGGTCGGATGTTGCGTGTACGCACTGAACGGGTCCATAGCTCTGAAAAGGGTTAAGGCGAAGTGAAACCCCCCTCAAATTAGTCGATTGGAATACAATACCTTTGAGGAAGAACGCGCTGCCAGTGAAATTTCATTTTTCGAAAAGAAAAAAAAGAAAAGATATCTTTTCTTGGTTCTTGTCCGAGATAAATGCGTTTTTTTTTTTTCAAAAAAATAAAATTGTACTAGCAGTGGGTTATTCCTTAGAGCCTCCATGATCACGTGTTGAAGTGTCAGATAATTCGGTGCACCCAGTTTGGAGAATGGTTTTTTTCAATATTTTGACTTTTTGGTATATATATGTAATCAAACTTTCATATCACCTTAAAGGAAGCTATTTCTGGTTTTGGCATAATATACTTGTCGGATTTAGGAAGAGTTAAATGTCTTATAATTATAATATCAAGACTCGAAGGTCGACGGCTAGCCGAGAAAGGTGCGACCTGATAGAGGGGAGACATCGGTGATAAGGGGATATATAAGATCAGACTTTCACATCACCTTAAAGCACACTATTTCTGTTTTTAACATTATATACTTGTAGGGTTTAGGGAGAGTTAAATGTCTTATAATTGTAATTTCAAGACTCGAAGGTCAGCGGCTAGCCGAGAAATGTGCAACCTGATAGAGGGGAGACATCGGTGATAAGGGGATATATAAGATCAGACTTTCATATCACCTTAAAGGAAACTATTTCTGGTTTTGGCATAATATATTTGTAGGATTTAGGGAGAGTTAAATCTCTTATTATTGTAATATCAAGACTCGAAGATCGGCGGCTAGCCCAGAAAGGTGCGACCTGATAGAGGTGATAAGGGGATATATAAGATCAGACTTTCACATCACCTTAAAGGAAACTATTTCTGATTTTAACATTATATACTTGTAGGGTTTAGGGAGAGTTAAATCTCTTACTATTGTAATATCAAGACTCGAAGGTCGACGGCTAGCCGAGAAAGGTGCGACCTGATAGAAGGGAGAGATCGGTGATAAGGGGATCGCTCGTCGGCGCGGAAGCGCGCCGATCGAACGGGATCGATGGATTTTTATTTTCCGGGGGGCGATTTTTCCGATACAGGCCGCGGGATAAAGTGAAAGTCTCCGTTAAACACGCGGCTCTTGGGCGGCCCGTTGAATCACCGCTTATTAGCCACGGATACGTGCTCGTGTAACGAGAAAGGACCGAGATCGCGGCCGACCGGAAGCGCAGGCTTTCCCGCGACCCGCGGAAATGGCGGATCCCCCGCGACGCCTCGCCCCGAGGCGCCATTTCCACTCCTGGTGATTGACAATCGATCTTATCGAGCTCATAACCCACGAGACGAATGATTCCGCCAGCGGAAATGCCCTCGCCGCGAAACATAATGGTACTTTTCATTCCTTTATATGCATATCAGTGACATATTGGTGTGCTATATAACAATGCCTTATCACTATTCATGGTTACTTTTCACGGTTAGAATCGGTGACTTCTGTTTTCACGCGTATGGTACTTTTAATCCCTTTATATGTATATCAATGACACATTGGTGCGGCAGCTAACAATGTCTTATCACTAATCATGGGTACTTTTCACGGTCAGAATCGGTCCCTTCTATTTTCACGCATATAGTATTTTTTATTCCTTTATATGTATATCAGTGACACATTGGTGTGTCATGTAACAATGCGTTATCACTAATCATGGGTACTTTTCACGGTTAGAATCGGTGCCTTCTGTTTTCACGCGCACGGCACTTTTTATTTCTTTATGTGTACAACAGTGACACATTGATGTGGCATATAACAATGCCTTATCATTAATCAGGGTTACTTTTCGCGGTTAGAATCGGTGACTTCTGTTTTCACGCATATAGTATTTTTAATTCCTTTATATGTATATCAGTGACACATTGGTGTGGCATATAACAATGCCTTATCACTAATCATGGGTACTTTTCACGGTTAGAATTGGTGCCTTTTATTATCACGCGCGCGGTACTTTTTTTTGTTTAATTCCATTAATGTATAATTTTTTTAAATTTCTTTATATGTATATCGATGACCCATTGGTGTGGCGTATAGCAATGCGTTATCACTAATCATAGTTACTTTTCGCGGTTAGAATAGGCGCCTTTTATTTTCACGGGCACGGTACTTTTAATTCCTTTATATGTATTTCGGTCACACATTGGTGTGCACATGTAATAATGCCTTATCACTTATCATGGTTACTTTTCACGGTTAGAATCGGTGCCTGCTATTTTCACGGACGTGGTACTTTTAATTCCTTTGTATGTATATCGGTGACATATTGGTGTGCCATATAACAATGCCTTATCACTAATCGTGGTTACTTTTCGCGGTTAGAATTGGCGCCATCGATTTTCACGCGCACGAACTAGGCCGAGTTTCACGTGTACCGTTAAGAGAAGTCGTCATACGACAAAAAGCCAACTTGCGAGCCAGAGTGCCGATCCTTCGACGTTCTTACCGTTATCTTGTGATTTTTGTCCGGGAACAATGCCCACCCTGGGGGATTCCAGAGGTGGATTCCGATCGCGGATGCTGCGCGAGGATCCTGTCGAGATCCTCGCTCACGACGAACTCAAAATTTAAATTAAGAACTACGGAAGCTGCACTGATAAAATTGCAAATTACCTACAATTTGAGGATGCAAAATTGAATTAAAATGACAAGTTTGTCACGACGATTTAAGATGATATGAAAGGGCCATTTTATATATATATTAAAACGTCAAAATATTTATAAAACTTTTCGCTAAACTGGGTGCTCCGAATTATTTAGGTGGCAAATTGAATTGAATTACAAATTTGACACGACGATTTAAGGTGATATGAAAGGGTCATTCTATGTATATTAAAACGTCAAAATATTTATAAAACTTTTCGCTAAACTGGGTGCTCCGAATTATTTAGATGCCAAATTGAATTAAATGACAAATTTGACACGACGATTTAAGGTGATATGAAAGGGTCATTCTATATATATTAACATGTCAAAATATTTATAAAACTTTTCGCTAAATTGGGTGCACTGAATCATTTGGATGCAAAATTGAATTAAGTGACAAATTTGACACGTTTTAAGGTGGTGTGAAAGGGCCATTCTATATATATTAAAACGTCAAAATATTTATAAAACTTTTCTCTAAACTGGGTACACCGAATCATTTAGATGCAAAATTGAATTAAAATGACAAATTTGACGCGACAATTTAAGGTGATATGAAAGGGTCATTTTATATATATCAAAACGTCAAAATATTTATAAAACTTTTCGCTAAATTGGATGCACCGAATTATTTAGATGCCAAATTGAATTAAATGACAAATTTGACACGACGATTTAAGGTGAATGAGTGAGTTCTATATATATCAAAACGTTTAAATATTTATGAAACTTCTCTCGAAACTATAAATATTTACGTTTGGGGATTCTTTTTAGCCAGTATGTTGAATTTTAAAACGAGGAGTGATCGTCATACGCGGTGGAAATGAAACATCCAAGTCAAAGAAAGTTATTATTACTTTTTCTTCAACAAAAATTTTGCTCCGCGTTCGCCACTCTGTATTTTTGGGTATGATAATGTTAACAAAGATGGCTATGAGCAGTAATGACATTCGAAAGTGTAACGAAAATATCTACGCAGATTATATAAATACTGCCACATAAAGAGAAATGTAAATAACAATGAATGGTAAGATAGAAAAGAAAGCGTTTCACTTCTAGATACGCCTCTCTTTCTTAACCGGCGAACTAGACACGTATTATCATGACATAAGAAGTTTCACTTAAAAAAAAAAAAAAAAAAATGCGTACATTGAACGACTCTATTACAAATTCAGTAATCTTGTCTGGGAAAAAAAAAAGAGAAAAAAAAAAAACGATTCGGGTCTCATGAGTTTGCTGCAGCTCTCTTTTTTACCAGTGCATGCGATACATGGTTTAATGGCGGCAAATTAAAAAGACATAATGGCGGCAAATTAAAAAGACAAGGACTAGGCTCTGTTGTCTCTCTCTTTTTTTTTTCGCCTTTTTAGCGCGAATTTGCAAGTCTCTTAACGGGGGGAATTCGAATGGGCCGACAATCGGGAGGTTTTAATGTCTTTAAATGCGAGCATGACTACTTTGCGGAGATATTAGAAGTCGGGAATTATGGCTGCGAGTGTGGCCGTAAAGAAAAATGTTCTTTTTTTTTTCCCCGACGCGTGTCCGCCGACAAAGTCGACGAGAGTCGGTCTGTCCTGGAGTTGGACTCTCTCTGGAGCGGTAATAAGCTCTTTCCTTGCATTTAAACATCGGTTACCCGAGTCTTACCGCGAGACAACCTTAAGGCGATGTGAAACCCCCCTCAAATCAGTCGATTCGAATACAACACTTTTTTTTTAAGGGTATTGGACCGAACTGTCCGAAACTTTGACACGTGACTCGTGGTCATCTAAGAATTGTCCTGACAGGTTAAAAATTTGGATTTTTTTTTTTAATTTTTTCATGGATCCATATAAGAACTTAAAAGTTACAGATGCCTATCTGTTGAAAACGTCTGTTCTCGGTACAATTAAAAGTTGTTCCATTAAGGTGAAGTTAAACCTCCCTCAAATCAGTCGATTCGATTAAAACACTTTTTTTTTAAGGGTATTGGACCGAACTGTCCGAAACTTTGACACGTGACTCGTGGTCATCTAAGAATTGTCCTGACAGGTTAAAAATTTGGATTTTTTTTTTTTTAATTTTTTCATGGATCCATATAAGAACTTTAAAGTTACAGATGCCTGTCTGTTGAAAACGTCTGTTCTCGGTACAATTAAAAGTTGTTCCATTAAGGTGAAGTTAAACCTCCCTCAAATCAGTCAATTCGAATACAACACTTTTTTTGAAGGGTATTGGACCAAACTGTCCGAAACTGACACGTGACTCGTGGTCATCTAAGAATTGTCCTGACACGTTCAAGATTTGGACTTTTTCCAAAAACATTTTTTAATTCAGCCCAGACCAGAACCAAAATGACGTCAGCTCTCATATTTCGATCAATATAGAATTATCGAAAGGTCCGATATGAGAAACGAAAGGGTCGGGAGAATTTTACGACAATTTAGAACACTCTGGTAATCGATAAACTCGCATTTGAACGGGATAAAGGGAAAAAAAGTGTTGTATGCGCTTCTATGCTAAAACGATGGGAATACGAGGTCTCGGAGAGAAAATTTAATTGACCTGAAAATCACAGATAGCACAGGGTCCCTCTGCAGTTAATTAGGGCCCCAGAAAGCATGAATCCAGAGGATTCTGGAGTTTTACTTCGATTTCTTTATAATTATTGTACGAAAACGACAGGTGGAGTATGCCATTTGGTACAATACCCGATATAATTCGACCCAGCTGTCAATATAAAAACAAACGTCGGCAACGTAGGCATTTAGAAAAATCTTCTTTATCGACGTCGATCAAGTTCCTCGGCGTGTTTCACTTCACCTTAACGTCGCGGGATTCCGAGTGAACTCTTTACGCCGTCAAAAAAACGCTCGCAGATTTCTATGCAGTCCTGTAGTATAGAGTCGTGCCATAAATGCACATTTTTTACGACGACTTGGATTAGGGTACACGATCCATAAACTCACGAATTTCCTGTTAGTACTCAGTCGTGCTCTAAGCGTACATTAATATTTTTTTTTTTTATGATAACTCGTATCAGAACACAAAGTCCGTAGATTCATAAACGAGAACGAAACGTGATGACGTTGCACCGGAAATACTCTGACATACGTTTCTCAGGATCCATCCATCTCGTGTATAATAAACTCCTTGCGAAACTTCCGAAACACCTCACGCATGCTCGATAAATTTTCATTTCTTTTCCGTAGTCTTAATTTCCTTCGACATTTTTTTTTAGTTATTTCGAAAGAACACAATCGAAATCATAAGTCGGTAATTTCTCATTTCGCGAAGTCGGGCTCCAATTCCTCGGAGATGGTCCTTCCGGAGTTGGGGGTTAAGGGGATGTGAAAGTGGCATCCGAAAGCTCAATCGTTCATAAAACTTTTCATAGAACTGCGTGTCTCAAATCGTATCATACTTTGAAACGTGAAAACGGAGACCCTAAGGTAGGGGTCCTGAAACTCGCGAAATTTAATTTCTCATAAACTATTTTCAAAATACCTATAAACAAATTTGAAAAGAATTCAAATCTTATGAGTTTTAGGACCTTCCTCATAGTCTCCCTATTCACGTAGTAAAGTTTCAAACTATTCGGTAACGCGAGTTGGGAGAAAAGTTTTATAAATAAAACCTCTTCGATGACACTGTCACATAACCTAAAACACTGATAAGAAATAATCACGACGATGCATGAAAATCACTGATACGAGAGAACTTCCGTGCCGAGCATGAAGAAGCGGAAACGCGGAAGGCCTCACGCTTTATCTTGGGAAGGGAGAAGCATGAAATTCGTATTGTAAAAAAAAATAAATAAAATATTAATAAAAAAATAAAAGAAACGATAGAGCGCAGGAAGAAGGGGTCGGAAGTTGATTCTTGCATTTTGGATTACCATGCGCGGCCTCTATCTCTATTTCTCTCCGTCTCTCTTCGATTCTCGGGGCCTCCGGTCCGGCCAGGAACGCGCGGACGTGTGCGCTCAGAACTCGGTCCTTCTCGCGGGCACTCTCATGACACGACTGGGCCCTCGCGTCCGCTGCACTCGGCGGCCGCGCGTCGCAACCGGCTGACACCTCCGGGGGAACCGCGAGCAGGCCTGCCCGCGCGCGCCTCTCCTTTGACTAAGCCCAGGACCCGAGTGCCCCGGTGCGCCGGTCGCCCCTTCCAGGGGAGCCACCCTGCCCCTCCACGTGACTCCACCCACGTGCGAGGGAGCTCCAGGGGGTCCTGGAAAGGATTGGGGGTTGGAAGGGCTAGTCAGGTTCTTTTTTTACATCGTTTCGGACATGCTGGATGGGTTCCGGAAGGTACCGCGTTTGGGGCTCGTGCCTGATTTGGTAAATTCAACGTTGGAAAGATTAGTGGTTTCATTATTATTATTTTTTTTTATTGTTTCGGACATGCTGGATGGGTTCAGGAAGGTACCTCGTTTGGGGCTCATTGCCTGATTTGGTAAATTCAACGTTGGAAGGATTAGTGGTTTCATTTTCTTTTTTATCGTTTCGGACATGCTGGATGGGTTCCGGTAGGTACCTCGTTTGGGGCTAATTGCATGATTTGGTAAATTCAACGTTGGAAGGATTAGTGGTTTCATTATTTTATTTTTTTATTGTTTCGGACATGCTGGATGGGTTCCGGAAGGTACACTGTTTGGGGCTCATGCCTGATTTGGTAAATTCAACGTTGGAAGGATTAGTGGTTTCATTATTTTATTTATTTTTTTTATTGTTTCGGACATGCTGGATGGGTTCCGGAAGGTACCTCGTTTGGGGCTCATTGCATGATTTGGTAAATTCAACGTTGGAAGGATTAGTGGTTTCATTATTTTATTTATTTTTTTTATTGTTTCGGACATGCTGGATGGGTTCAGGAAGGTACCTCGTTTGGGGCTCATTGCCTGATTTGGTAAATTCAATGTTGGAAGGATTAGTGGTTTCATTTTATTTTTTATCGTTTCGGACATGCTGGATGGGTTCCGGAAGGTACCTCGTTTGGGGCTCGTGCCTGATTTGGTAAATTCAATGTTGGAAGGATTAGTGGTTTCATTTTCTTTTTTATCGTTTCGGACATGCTGGATGGGTTCCGGTAGGTACCTCGTTTGGGGCTAATTGCATGATTTGGTAAATTCAACGTTGGAAGGATGTTTCATTTTCTTTTTAATCGTTTCGGACATGCTGGATGGGTTCCGGAAGGTACCTCGTTTGGGGCTCATTGCCTGATTTGGTAAATTAAACGTTACGGGTAATGGGCTCGCTCGGATCTGAAAAGGATTGAACGTTGGAAGGATTAGTGGTTTCATTTTTCTTTTTTTTTTTTTATCGTTTTGTACCTGTTGAATGTGTTTCCGGAAGGTACCCTGTTTCGGGCTCATTGCCTGATTTGGTAAATTCAACGTTACGGGTAACGGGCTACACCCACGTGCTCGCTCGGATCTGTAAAAGATCGAACGTGGAAGGATTAGTGGTTTCATTTCTCTTTTTTTTTTAATCGTTTTGTACCTGTTGGATGGTTTTCCGAAAGATACCCCGTTTGGGGTTCATAGCCTGATTTGGAAAATTCAACGTTACGGGTAATGGGCTACACCCACGTGCTCGCTCGGATCTGTAAAAGATCGAACGTGAAAGGATTAGTGGTTTCATTTTCCTTTTTATCGTTTCGTACCTGTTGGATGTGTTCCCGGGAATGTACCCTGTTTGTTGCCTGATGTGGAATATGCCGGATATGGCCTGATGTGGAAAATTCAACACTATAGGCACCCATGAACGATCGAAGGTGATAAGGATTAGAGTTATTTTTTTAAATCGTTTCTTATCAATGAATATGTCATGCGGAATGCACACGTTACCTGATTGGGAAAACTGAACATGATAGGTACCCATGCAGCCACGTGGTCGCAAGATTTGAGATCTAAGAACGATCGTGGATTAGGAGGGTCATTACGTTTTTTTTTTCTATCGCTTCTCACCTGTCGAATACATTAATGGCAATTTACTCTATTTTGTACACTTTGCACGATTTATCCCATTTATCATTATAGATACCCACGTGGTCCCTCCTCAGAGAATCTGAGAAAGAGCGAGGGTTAGAAGAGTTAGCGAGGTATTTTGTCTTTTTTTTGTATCCTTTCTCACCTGTTGGATGTGCTATGGGAAATGTACCCAGTTTGGTGCATTTGACCTGATGTGAGAAAATTCAACATTATAGGTACCCATGCAGCCACGTGGTCGCAAGATTTGAGATCTAAGAAAGATCGTGGATTAGGAGGGTCATTACGTTTTTTTTTTCTATCGCTTCTCACCTGTCGAATACATTAATGGCAATTTACTCTGTTTTGTACACTTTGCACGATTTATCCCATTTATCATTATAGATACCCACGTGGTCCCTCCTCGGAGGATCTGAGAAAGAGCGAGGGTTAGAAGAGTTAGCGAGGTATTTTGTCATTTTTTTTTGTATCCTTTCTCACCTGTTGGATGTGCTATGGGAAATGTACCCTGTTTGGTGCACGGTGTACGATTTATCGCATAGAACACTAGAGGTACCCACGTGTTCTCTCCTCCGAGGATCTAAGACCGAGGTTTAGAAGGGTTAGCGAGGTTTCTTTCTGTACTCCTTTTTCACCTGCTGAATGTGTTACTGGCAATGTACACAGATCAGTACACGTTGCTCGATTTATCACATTGAACATTACAGGTGTATCCACGGCAGCGAGCTGCACCCACGTGGTCGCTCCTTCGAGGATCTGAGAAAGATCCAGGGTAAGAAGGATTAACGAGTTCTTTTTTTTTGTATCGCTTCTCACCTATTGAATGCATTATTTTCTCGGGAGCCGTTCCCTGAGAATCGGCAACCGTGATCTTCCTTGTTTGCGGCGCACCCATGTGAGGATCCTTTCTTTTGTCGAAAAAAGAACCTCTCACTTTATCGTTTTTTCCCTTTTTGCATATTATCCACATGTTTTAAAATGTTTTCTCAGGAAAGTTGCGGATGAGAGTCTTTCTCTAAGAATGCATCGTCTCAATCGACTCGTCCTTGTTTGTAAGGATCCTTTCTTTTGTCGAAAAAAGAACCTCTCACTTTATCGTTTTTTCCCTTTTTGCATATTATCCACCTGTTTTAAAATGTTTTCTCAGGGAAGTTGCGGATGAGAGTCTTTCTCTAAGAATGCATCGTCTCAATCCACTCGTCCTTGTTTGTAAGGATCCTTTCTTTTGTCGAAAAAAGAACCTCTCACTGTATCGTTTTTTCCCTTTTTGCATATTATCCACCTGTTTATAATGTTTTCTCAGGGAAGTGGCGGATGAGAGTCTTTCTCTAAGAATGCATCGTCTCAATCGACTCGTCCTTGTTTGTAAGGATCCTTTCTTATGTCGAAAAAAGAACCTCTCACTTTATCGTTTTTTCCCTTTTTTTTTTTTAATATTTATCCACCTATTTTAAAATGTTTTCTCAGGAAAGTTGCGGATGAGAGTCTTTCTCTAAGAATGCATCGTCTCAATCCACTCGTCCTTGTTTGTAAGGATCCTTTCTTTTGTCGAAAAAAGAACCTCTCACTGTATCGTTTTTTCCCTTTTTGCATATTATCCACCTGTTTATAATGTTTTCTCAGGGAAGTTGCGGATGAGAGTCTTTCTATAAGAATTCATCTTCTCAATCGACTCTTCCTTGTCTGGGAGGATCCTTTCTCTTGCCGTAAAAAACCCTCTCACTTTATCGTTCTCTCCCTTTTAGCATATTTATCCACCTGTTTTAAGAAGTTATTTCAGGGGAGTCGTGGATGAGAGCCGTTCTCTAAGAATTCATCGTCCCAGTCGATTCGTTCTTGTCTGTGAGGATCCTTTCTTTCGTCGATAAAGAAGAACCCTCTCACTTTATCGTATTTTCCCTTGTTTCGTATTTATCCTCCTGTTTTAAGAAGTTATTTCAGGGGAGTCGCGTATGAAAGCCGTTCTCTAAGAATTCATCGTCTCAATCGTTTCTTCCTTGTCTCGTATCCGCGTATTTCCTCATGCTCGGAAATTCCTGTAATTAAATAAAATCAAGTACAGTAGACTCCCGTATAACACGGTTAATACTCTACGCGCTATATGAATTCCCGTAATACGAAACCATGCTGTACGGGAATGTCTCTCGTATAACGCGCATAATGTGTTTTGTTATTAGGCGCTATTTTTATTTTTATTTTTATTTATTTTTTATTATTTAGCGTTATTAGACAGGTTGTACGCAGAATCGCGTTATATGAAAACAATAGTCGCAATATATTTAGAGCGCTAGAGGAACTCGGGAGTCTACTGTATTAAAATTGTCGCGCTATCTTTTTATATTACCCCCCTCCTTTTATGTAACTTTTTCGAAAGGACCGCAGATAAGAGCCATCATATGTGCCCATAATTATGAAAGTGGTCTAAGTCATATATTTTTTGTTTCGAAATTACATTGAATTAATTTCGTTTGAAATAATATGGCGTGAAATAACTGATAAACTCATTTTTTTTTTTAATTTTGACTTAGACCACTTTCATAATTATGGGCACATATCCTTCACCGTAACTCATCCCCATGTCATCACCACGTGCGATCAGCTGTTCGCTGACCACGTGGTCACGAGCTGTCAAACTCCGCGTGACCTCCGCTCGGATTTCTCGAGTTCGCTTAATTCTCGTTTCTCATCCCATCTTATTTTCAGGTATTCTTCGTCAAACCTCGATTATAAACGTCCTCTATCCCCGGATGTACGTAAGGCCTAATTCTGGATAGGTTCGGCGAACCTGACGGATCAGCAATCTAAAACCGTCCACCTTACGCGCCGCGACGATTCCGTCCCGTGACGAAGGTGGAAAGTCCTATATTCTTTTATTCCCCGCAGTGACATCCTCGCGTTTAATCCGCCGCCGTTATCCCGCGTCCAATAATAATGGCTACCGCGTCCAATAATAACGGCCACCGCGTCCAATAATTGATGGCCGATCGCGTATCCGCGTTCATCGTGCTCGGGACATTTTTTAGATTCCGCACGTACCCGATGCGGATTCCGCGAACGCCTCGTTATCGTTCGCGAGTGCCTCTTGGATTGAATCATCGATTTTCTTTTTTTCCCCCCTTCTTTTTCTTCCACTTCTTCCTTTTTTATCGAGAATTGTCGCGCGGCAATGGCGAGGCGTGCATTCCTCGTCGATTTACCGCTTTTCTTTGTGACTCCTTTTTTTTTTTAGTCACGACTTTTGAGGTATCTTCTGCCGCAGGTTTTTTCCCGACTTAATTACGTACTCACGGATATTCACCGTGGAATTCTGTCACGGACGTTTGAATTTCTTCGTAGGATTTAGCCTGATTTAATGGCGCAAGAAACTACCGGAAGGGGAAAGCGGAAAGAGAGGATCTCCGTTTCCGTGATGAATCCTTGCTCTTACTTTCACGATCTTCTGCGGATGATATTTCTGTACACATTGCTTGAAATATTTGACTTTTCATTCGGTGGAGGATGTTTCTGTACACATTGTTAGAAATATTTGACAATTTCATACAATATTAGTATGCAACGTTATCATAAAGTTTCAGGTTTGATATGATAATTTATATTCATGCAACGTGGAGATAATGCTGGGTAATAACGTTTTTAAGAATGTACTTCAAGGGGAGAACTTCATTCGGTGGAGGATGTTTCTGTACACATTGTTAGAAATATTTGGCAATTATATACAATTTGAATATGCAACGTTATCATAAAGTTACAGATTTGATATGATAATTTATATGCATGCAACGCGGAGATAATGCCGAGTAATACGATTTTTTAATAGTGTACTTCAAGGAGAGAACTTCACGCGGTGGAGAATGTTTCTATATACATTGTTAAAAATATTTGACAATTTTATACAATTTAAGTATGCAACGTTATCATAAAGTTTCAGGTTTGATATGATAATTTATATTCATGCAACGCGGAGACAATGCCGGGTAATAACGTTTTTAAGAGTGTACTTCAAGGGGAGAACTTCACTCGGTGGAGGATGTTTCTGTACAAACTTTTAGAAATTTTTGACAATTTTATACAATTTGAATATGCAACGTTATCATAAAGTTACAGGTTAGATGTGACAATTTATATTCATGCAACGCGGAGATAATGCCGGGTAATAACTTTTTTAAGAGTGTACTTCAAGGAGAGAACTTCACTCGGTAGACGATGTTTCTATACACATCGTTAGAAATGTTTGACAATCTTATACAATTAATTTTAATTTAAGTATGCTAAGTTGTGATAAAGTTACAGGTTTGATGTGATAATTTATATTCATGCAACGCGGAGGTAATGCCGGATAATAACGTTTTTAACCGTATACTTCAGGAGAGAATTTCAAGCCATAAGTGACGTGTGCCGTTTAAAAGAAATTACAATAAATTATTATATACATTTGCATACTAAGTTGAATCCTTATGTCGTAACATTAAAGGAACTTTACGTGGGTATATAAATACCTCGAAATAAACATCTTTAACATCATTAGTAATGAATTTATAATACCCTAGTAGGTGTAAAGTACACGCTTTATAATTCTACAAGGTATCAAGGTTTAAATAAATCCCAATAAGACGTCATAAATTGCAAGGCCCCGGGTTTACAAGCATTGCATGCTAATTGAACTCAACTCTGTATATAAATTGTTCGCAATTTAATTTATATATTAAAGATTTTTAACAGTGATGCGAGAAAACGATCGTGGAAAATAATCGGCCTCGCGAGATTATTATGCAACCCTGCATGAGCTATACCTCGCGAACGGTCTCGTTACTCACAATTAGCTTCCCAAGTGCGTGCTCGATTCTCTTCGAGTACTCGTCGAGTGCTCGCCAAATATCTCGAATTACCCTTTAACCACTCTCGTCGTGATTTTCACGCGACAAGTCAA